TAGTTTCGCAACCCTTTACTCCAATATATGACACAAATCCCCCTAAAGAGAAAAGGCTGTGAAGCAAGATCATTTTTACTCATTATTGAACTGTGACTATTACTATGCCTGATGTTTCCTAATAAGCAAACATAAAATACTTCTTGAAGGCATGATCGCATTTTCACTTTTACTACCTTCATGAATAACAACATAAATTACACATTATTTATACCATATATATATATATATCTGAAAGTCTCATGTCTACCTTGTTAGTATAAGCTGCTTGAGGGAAGAAACTGTGTATTCCACTTTATTTATTTTTGAGACGGAGTTTCGCTCTTGCCTGGTCTGGAGTGCAATGGCATGATCTCAGCTCATAGCAACCTCTGTTGCCCAGGTTCAAGCAATTCTCCTGCCTCAGCCTCCAGAGTAGCTGGGATTACAGGCATACACCACCACACCCGGCTAATATTGTATTTTTAGAGACGGGTTTTTCCATGTTAGTCAGGCTGGTCTTGAACTCACAACCTCAGGTGATCCACCTGCTTCCACCTCCCAAAGTGTTGGGATTACAGGCATGAGCCACTGCGCCCAGCCGTATTCCATTTTAATATACACAGTGCTAGTGCAGAAGATGAAGGTGAATGTGTGTGTGTGTATGTAATTTTTAAAATAAGCTCCCAAGTTATTCAAATCAACACAATACTGTAGTCACTGGAATATTTTTGCACAATTGTTAATAAAACAAAAATCGGCTAACACAATATTCTGAGACTATATGCTAGCTTTTCTTGGTCTTTTCTATTTGCTCTCTCTCCAAGCCTCTTCCTGACTGATTACTGAGGACGACTGCCTGCAGGTACCCGAGTCCTGTCCTATTAAACTTTAAGATGAATTTTGGCACAGCACACCTTTGGCTTGTGGCTCAGAGGCTGCCCAGAGAGCTCTGGCAGCAAGACCTTAGGCAAGCCAGGCTACCTACAGAGCACAGATTCGTTCCTTGTTCAAGTGACAGCATCTCCAATAATTCTATATGAACAAGATTAGGACAAAAAGCAATAAAGCAACATTTGTTAAAAAAGCATTATCACTGTTATCCAGTGGTTGCAAAGGGGAATGAGTCCTCTGTCTAGAAAAAGGATGAAGTTAAAACCAGAAGAGTTTTATGTCTTAAATTCCCATGCGGACAGTCTTGACAGGAACTGGTGGAATACTGCAAAATTCGAAATATCTATCAAAAGTACTGATGCGCACTAAAACACATAGTCTCTACTCCTGCCAATCTCACACCTACTAACAAAGCCATAGACAGTTCCCCAGTATCATCACTGTGCCTAAAACATATGAGTATGTGTTCAATACACATTGGCTGAATTAATGAGCAAATGAATGATAATCCTGAAGGGCTATTGCGAATACCAAGATGAAAAATTAAATACCAGAGTTGAAATAATTAGGCACCAAATATATAAAATAATTGTATTAAAAATCTCAGAGGAATCCAAACAGGCTAATGAGGCAAGCATCCATCCCACCTGTATCAAGTACTAGGTGGTCATACCACCCAGACTACCAGGATTCTCCAAAGAACATCAGATATACCTATAGTCTCTCCCCTCAGAACCTCAAAAATAATCTCTGGATGCTAAATCTTTGAGCAAAAGTAGTCAGTTAAATATTGGGGCAAACGAAATCCCAATCACAACTTTACTCAAAACCAACCCTGAAACATACACTTAAGTGGAATAGAAGCCCAGGAACTGCTACCCATCTTTTCCTAATAAAAGAAGGGAAATAACACCTGGGCCTAAAGACCAACAACACTGTCAAAACACAGGAGAAATGCCAAGTTCTTGTATCTGACTTACTGTAGGTGACCACTAGTTTGTCACCTATCTGCAAGTCTGTTAACTTCAGGGGTGGAGCCCAGGAATGTGCAGGTCCCTCAGGGGATTCTCGCACGCTAAAATTTAGAGAACCTGCTGCTCTAACACCGATCCTGTTTTATCCCTCAAGAGACCACAAAAAAAGAAGGTAGAAAGATAATAACCAATAATGAGGCTTTTTTTTTTTTTGAGACAGGGTCTGGCTCTGTTGCCCAGGTTGAAGTGCAGTGATATGATCTTGGTTCACTGCAACCTCTGCATCCTGGGCTCAAATCATCCTCCTACCTCAACCTCCCAAGTAGGTGGGGCTACAGGTGCACGACATCATGCCCGGCTAATTTTTTAATGTTTTTTGTAGAATCAGGGTTTCTCCATGTTGGTATCAAACTCCTGGACTCAAGTGATCCTCCCATCTCAGCCTTCCAAAGTGCTAGGATTACAGGTGTGAGCCACCACACCCGGCCCTACAATGGGGCTTTTTATTCCAGGTGTAGTTGATAGAATCTGTTTCTTTACTCCACAACGGTTCCCAAATTTATTCACATGAAGGAACAACTGGAATTCAATTTCCTAAAAAATGTTAATCAACTAGGAACAATTTTACATTAGGAAAACATGATTATGTTAATACCAAATTTTAAAAATTATAACCATGTTTTCTTAGTGAATGTCTCCACACTAAAAAGATGACCATTTCTAGCCTTTTTCATCAATGTTAATTTGCTGTGCCCATTTACTTCGTCCTCTGCTGGCAATCACTATCCATGGCAAGCAGGAACCGATGGTCTAAAAATTCCAACCAATAATTCTAAAGTTCCTTCAAATTATGAAGTCGGCTACCTCTCTGGCAGGGTTTCTCACAAACTTAGCCTGAGAATCACTGCTTTAAGGCAGGATTTGCTGCTCACCAGCCACTAGACACAATCCTCTCTCGCAGGGTTTCTTAACTTGGGGTCTGTGAACTTGAATTGGAGAAGTACACTCATATTTCCATTAACCTCTAGCTAAAATTTTTTGTTTCAATTACAAATAGGGTTAGCTACTCACAGTGGCATGAGTACCTGTGACTTTGCCAGCAAGAGAAATATTTTTTCCCCATCACGGAGCCATTGTTCAACATCTTGAAAACCTGGTAACCCTTGTCACCACTTCAAAATTATGTTAACAATTACACTGGACGGTATAAATCAATGAGTTAATTTATTAAAAGTACATATGACTACATCGCCACTTTTAAAAAACGTTTACATCTGTAGCGCAATGTAAGTGGTTTCTTTTGTAACTCTATGTGTTTCATGCATTTGAAAATAGAACTGTGAGAAGGGGTCTATTGGTATCAGATGACCATTGGCTATATCATTTGAGTTAAGATACAGTTAATTGCTTATGCTGTTGATACTGGCATTATTAGTTTGCATTTCACTACTAAGCCACGCTACCTGTGTGCCTGGCGCAAAGAGAAAGCTTCAGATAGTTGCTAAATGAAAGGACAAACTTTGGGGTAGAGTTCCCGCAATGGCAGTTTGACACCAATTAATCCACTGATTCTACCAGCAGCCTAACTGTGGCTCAGTTTCTCCTCTCTGGGAAATGGGACTATTGTTTACCCAATGACCCTGGAAAAACTTACAAGAAAAAAACATTAATTTGTGTGAAAAGACTCAAGCCCTTTAAAAGACGTGCTTTTTTATTTTCCACGTGTATCCTTAAACAATAGTTCTAGTGGTCTTACTTTTACTAACCCGGTGTCCACATCAGAACCTTGAATCCCATTCCCAGTTCTGCTGTCCACTATGGGCCATAAGGAAGAAAGAAGCATCAGAGATAGCAAATAAAGTGGGTGGATTTAAAGATCAGTGCATATTCCTTGGGATTTGTTTGTAAATTGTTCATGTATGTGTAATGTACAGACAGTGAGAGTCCATCGCTTTCATCAGCTTCTCAAAGGGGACTCCAAAGACGACCTACTCCGAGACACAAATGTGCTCCTGAAAAACTGTAAACAAACTGTAAAATGTTCAAATTTTTTTTTTTACAAGACCTTCACATGTAAACCAGAATCCCTTTCCTACAGCAAACTGTGGGTCACAGATAATAAAACAGGCCTGTGCAACACCTCACAGCTAGTCAATAACCAGATGGGACCCGCTCCTAGACCACCTGGCTTTTTTCCCCCTGCATCAGCCTTGTCACTGAACACGGTTTCATTCTTCTTAAATCTGATGTTCATGGCACAGAGCAGGAGTAGTAGCTTTAAGTATCACTAGTCACGGCTTTCAGTGGCTCTGATCGCTATCATTCACAACTGTAACTGAATAAAAGGAAGACAGAAAGGAAAGAAAATTCTTGCCACTTATTCAACTTTCAAAAATAACATTGCAATGCCAGTTTAAAAGCTCCCCTCTACACCATGCTTCTATAAAGCATTCTCAAATTGATGGATGTCCAGCAAGACTTACTACTACAAGTTACACAACTGTACTAGCATGAAACAAACCAAGAGATAAGGCCCTGTCATCCTTCTCTGTTCAGGAAACAATGGCGGGATCATGCCACAGGCCAAGATTTCCAAAGAGATTGCTTTAGAGAGAATGCGTATCAGGAATCAAGGACAACAGTAATTTTGGCAGAAGGGCTAGGATACATGAGTACCGGGGGGTGGGAGTAAGGGGCGGGGAAGCCTGTACAATAAATCGCCTTAATAGAAATGTAGTGTGGCCACGAGTGCACGACCATCAATGGAAGCGCCTGCATTTTCCTTCACAGCTATCACTGCCTCTTTCCTTCCCCGCCCACCAACGAAAGCAATGCTGCAGGAGTGGAGGGCACGGGAGGAATAAACGGCGTGGGTTTAGACCTGTTTCCACCACGAAATAGCTGCGTGACCCAGGCAAGTTACAAAACCGTACCTCAGCTGCCCCACTACACTGTCGACTACACAAAAATGCTGTCTGGATTACATGACAGACAACGAATACGAAACCTTCAACACTGGGCGAGACAGAGGAACCGCTCCGTGCCTCTAAGGCAAGTCCGTAAGAGGGTTCTGGGGCCTGGGCTCCGGCCCGGAAAGGGCGCTCCCGGGGCCCGCTCCCCGCCAGCTGGGTTCCGAGCCCCTGCCCGGCCCACCTTGTTGTTGTACTCCTCCACGAAGCTGCCCAGAGCCAAGCGAAAGCGCTTATCGGGCCGCACACTCCAGTTCATCGCGTAGACAGTCCAGGGCGCTTCATACTTGTAGATCTCCTTCCGTTTGCCGTGCAGGGACATGGTGGCTGCAGGGCAGCAGTGCGGGCCGGGTCAACAGCGGGCTGCGGCGTGCGGGGTACGAGTCGGGCGGGGAGCCGGGCCTGAGACCGATGGGTCCAAAGGGAGTAGCGGAGGAGGCGGTCAGGAACGGCCTACCCCCGGAAGCGGAGCTGCGACAACAAACAACGACGACGGCCGAGCCCGACCCCTAGTTTCAAACCAGCTTGGGCACAGACGACAACCACCTTCCGTTTTGGGACGCCGCCCCGCCCTCTCGGAACGGAAGCCACAGGACCCCCGCAGCGGCACCAGCAGTTGGTTGCCTCACACGTCCTTTCGAAAGGGTTCTTTCTTCTCATTGGTTGTTGCGGCCGTAGCGTCTAAAAGCTCTTCGCTATTGGGTTAAATGTTTGTCATTGCACCTACTCGCCCCGCCTAACTCTTGGAGGCAGGGGCTTTGGCAGCCCCAAAGGTCATTGGCTGGCCAGGCTGTCAGTCAGGCAGATAACGGCGCAGGGTCTGCGGTGGGGAGTGGGTGACCTGAAGCGAGCGTGCGCGGGGGCGGCGGGCCTCCAAGTTCTAGGCCAAGTCTCCGAGAGTGAAGCCATCTGTGACCTGAGCCGACTTCCCCTCTGCTGCCGCTGTTCTAAGCGGCCTCTCCACGCTGTCGAGTAAAAGTACAGTTCTGCCTTAGTACAGTTCTTCTGAATGTTGCGGGACCTAGCCCCGCGGCCTGGCAGTCTGGTCAGTGCCCAGCGGGAACCACCTTCCCGCTCCCTCTGGTCCCGCGGCCCCTTTAACCCGAAAGCTGCTCTCTTCGTGCCCCAGGGACAGGCTTCGGGCGTGCAGATGCGCCAAGGGTCAGGCCAGCTTGAGTCAGGCGCTCCGGCGCTTTCCTGTAGGATCTAGGAATGTCCCCGAATTCTAGGGTAGGCATCAACGAGACCAGCTTGGTTATGTTTTTGTTGGTTCCTATCCTGTTACCTCCCCGCCGTGGATCCCAACGCAAATGCTAATCCAGCCCCAAAGGTATCTGTGCTTATGTGTTTGAGAGGGAGAAGGGCCTGAGACCAAGTAACCTTTATAAATGGTTTCCAATTCTTAGCTTTCATCAAAATTGAAGGAGGTTTGTATCGAATTGTGGGACATTAAATATATATATATATATTTTAAAGACAGGGTCTCGCCCTGTCACCCAGGCTGGAGTGCACTGGTGGGATAAGGGCTGTATCCTTCACAGCCTAGGCTCAAACGATTCCGACTTTAGCCTCTAGAGTAGCTAGAACCACAGACGTTCGCCCCCACAACTAGCTATTTTTAAATTACTATTTGTAGAGATGAGATCTCTCCATGTTGCCCAGGCTGGTCTCGAACTCCTGGGCTCAAGCGGTCCTCCCACATCAGCATCTCAAAGTGCTGGGATTACAGGATTGAGCCACCATTCTGGCCACTAAATATAATTTTTAATGATAACTGATTTTAACAGACAATTCAAAGACTTGAGGGACAATGCTATATAAGATAACCCCTGTTAGTCCTATCTTCTTATGTGAACAAATTTTGTAGCCACTTTAAAAAGGAAAGAAATGCTTTTTGTTTTGTTTTTCCTGAGATGGAAGGAAACTTTTTTTTTTTTTTTTTTTTTTTGAGATGGAGTCTTACTCTGTTGGGCAGGCTGGAGTGCAGTGGCCTGATCTCCGTTCACCTCAACCTCCACCTCCTAGGTTCGAGCTATTTTCCTGCCTCACCCTCCTGAATAGCTGGGATTCTAGGGGTATACCACTCCCAGCTAATTTTTAGTAGAAATGGGGTTTCACCATGTTGGCCATGCTGGTGTCAAACTCCTGACCTAAAATGATGCTGGCCTCAGCCTCCCAAAGTGTTGGGATTACAGGTGTGAGCCACCACACTCGGCCAAGAAATCCCCTTTATTTATTTATTTATTTTATTTTTTGAGATGGAGTCTCACTCTGTCACCCAGGCTGGAGTGCAGTGGCATGATCTCGGCCCACTGCAACCTCCGCCTTTGGGGTTCAAGTGATTCTCCGGCCTCAGCCTCCCGAATAGCTAGGATTACAGGTGCCCACCACAACGCCCAGCTAAAGGAAATCCCCTTTTAAAGAGGAAAGTTTATTTTTTTTGAGACAGAGTTTGCTCTTGTTGCCCAGGCTGAACTGCAGTGGCGCAATCTCAGCTCACTGCAACCTCCGCCTCCTGGGTTCAAGTGATTCTCCTGCCTCAGCCTCCCAAGTAGCTGGGATTACAAGTATGTGCCACCATGTCCAGCTAATTTTGTATTTTTAGTAGAGATGGTATTTCTCCATGTTGGTCAGGCTGGTCAAGAACTCCTGACTTCAGGTGTGATCCGCCTGCCTTGGCCTCACAAAGTGCTGGGATTACAGGCGTGAGCCACTGCATCCGGCTGAAAGTTTAATTTTTAAAAAGGAAAGAAAAGTACAAAACTTAACAGTACCTTGTCTTATTCTAATAAAAAATAATGATATTCATCCACAGATATAGGAACTAATAGGGAAGGAAATTTTCTCTTTTATGAGATACAGTTCCAAAAAATTTGAGTTTTTATTAGAAAATTGAATATATATGTTGTTTTGAACAACTGTACTACTAATATATGTAACCCTTAAAGCCTTATCAAGGTTACAAAAAGTGAATTTGTACACATTTGTTTTGAGGCAGGGTCTTGCTTTGTTGCCCAGGTGGTAGTGCAGTGGCGCGAGCACTGCTTATTGCAGCCTCGACCTCCTGGGCTCAAGCGATCCTCCTGCCTCCTTTCATTTTTTGTAGAGACAAGGTTTCACCATGTTGGCCAGGCTGGGGTCAACTGGTCCTTCCACTTTGGCCTCCCACAGTGCTGGGATTATAGGCATGAGCCACCCTGTGCCTGACCTACTTTTTTTTTTTTTTTTTTTTTAGACAGAGTCTCGCAATGTTGCCTGGGCTGGAATGCAGTGGCACCATCTCAGCTCATTACAACCCCAGTCTCCCAGGTTCAAGTGATTCTCCTCCCTCAGCCTCCCAAGCAGATGGGATTACAAGCACCCGCGATTACAAGCACCCGCCACCATGCCTGGCTCATTATTTTATATTTTTAGTAGAGACAGGGTTTCACTGTGTTGGCCAGGCTGGTCTCCAACTGCTGACCTCGTGATCTGCCTGCCTCGCCTCCCAAAGTGCTGGGATTATAGGCATGAGTTGCCTGGCCTTTTTTTTGTTTTTGTTTTTTGTTTTAAGACACTGAGTCTTGCTCTGTCACCCAGACTGGAGTACAGTTGCATGAACCTGGCTTACTGCAGCCTTGACCTCCGAGGTTCAAGGGACCCTCCCACCCACCTACCCAAGCCTCCCACCCACCTACCCAAGCCTCCCACCAAGCCCTGTAGTACCTGGGACTACAGGGGTACATCACAATGCCTGGTTAATTACAAAAAAAAAAAAAAAAAAAATTTTTTTTTTTTTGTAGAAACCCCGTTGCACTATGCTGCCCAGGCTGGTCTTGAATTCCTGGCCTTAAGCAATCCTCCAGCCTCAGCCTCCCAAAGTGTAGGGATCACAGGCATGAGTGAGCCACTGCACCCGGCTTGTATACATATTTGTGTGGCAAACATATGATAGGCTGATCAATAGTAGGCTTTGAGGCATACCAATAAATTACATGTAGGATAAAACTATGGGAGGAATAAGGGAGTTAGGAGGAGAGAAAAAAGAATGATGTTAAAGAAAAGCCTCTTGTGTTTTTAAAATGGATGGTGGTGGCTCTCAAATCACTGCTAGTTGGATAGAAATGGGTCAATACAAATGAAGGATGGAATCGTTTTATAAAGTCAGTATTTACAAGACAGTTGACATTACATCCTTTGCATCTATTTAAATTTATTAGTGAAGTGTTTTATAATATTTCAGATGGCAACTTAAAAAGGTGTGTGGGAGATATACATTTTTGAAATTATTTTCCAGCATATGGGAGCGAAGGACTGAAAACCAATAACCAAGTAGTTTTTGGACAACAGCCCTTTTCAGCAGTGGTTAATTGTACATGCTCACAAAGCCTCCTTTCCTGTTGTGTTGGGTATGGGCATGACTTTAAAAAATTTTTATTTTGAGACAGCATCTTAATCGGTTGCCCAGGCTGTGAGAGCAGTGATGCAATCACGGCTTACTGTAATCTTGAACTCCTGGCTTCAAGCGGTTCTCCTGCATCAGCCTCCTCCCAAAGCCCTGGGATTATAGCATAAGCCACTACGTCTGACTTTTTTTTTTTTTTAATTTAGGTATAATTTACATAGAAGCACACTCTTTCACAACCTGAACACACTCCTGTAACCAGCACCTAGATCAGGAAACAGAACGGTACCTGCACCTCAGAATACCCCCTCATGCTTGGGTAAGTGTCTTAGTCTCTCTGCTACTGATCCCACATCTCTAAAATGGAGATAATAATGCCAACCATAATGCCAACCCCTTGGGGTTGTTTTGAGGATTAGATGAACAAGTATCTGCAGTGCTGTCAGCATAGTGCCTGGTCCAGGACGAGTGCTACTGAAGTACTGGCTATTGTCATGATCCATTAGGGCCACTGAGCCAGTGTCTCTGGAGCTTCTGGGCCCAGTAGAGCCACCTTCAGGTCCCCAACATACTGGATATGGTGGAAGGTAGATCTCCAGCTCCTTGCAAGAAGGGTTTGGAGAAAGCCACCGCACTGCCAAAGACCTGAGGGCCTTCAGATAAGTTACACACCCGTCCCAACATGAAATGTGCATTTTATTAGCTGTCTGACACTCCACTGCCCTCAAGAGACCCAACGTCACAGAACCATCAGGAGCAGAGGGCTGGAGGTCTGTCCTAACATGTCTACCATAGAATACACCTCCATCTCCAGCCAGGTGGGAGGATCCATGGTAAGAGTTCTGACCAACCCCAGGCCTTGGTGCTGGGCCATGAGGTGGTGGAGGGTTCTGAGCTGGGAGGTGATCACATGCAGCCCAGAGTGAGGTACATAGATCAGAAACCTCTTTCTTCACTGGCCCCTCCATCCTGTAAGCTGCCTCTACACCTGAGACTCTCCCACCTTCAACCAGGCTTGCTGCCTAAATGGAACCCCAGAGTAGGCTGGGAAAAGTCCTGAGCCTCTTCACCCATGCCATTCTAGGTCACCTGGATCAGCAGTTGTAGCTACTCTAGGAGAAGCCCATCTGGGAGGCTGTCTGCCTCCCCAAGATCCTTAACTCTCACCTTGTCCACCTTCAATACTCTCATGGTGTCTTTATTTTGGAGTTCAGTGGCCCCAACTCCCTGCAAATCCAGGATCTGAACCATGTCTCTGGAACTCCAGCTGCTTGGGAACAGAGCCAAGCTGTTCAGGAAGGGAGGAGAAGCGGGGACCACAGATGAGTCCCTGTACTTCCAGGGGATGCAGAGGTGAGGCCAGCGGTGGCCAGAGCCCCTCAGGCTGTTCCTGTTCAGAGGATGGTGCCAGACTTTTGTCTGTTGCCACAGCCAGGTGAGGCATCCCGGGGAAGGAGTTCCCGTGCTTTGGACTACAGTTGTCCAAGTTTCCACAGCTCAGGGTCTGGGAGGAGCAAGAAAGAGGGATGCACCCCAGGCCAGGCTGCAGGTTAATCCACCCTGACTTCAGGGATGGGATCAGGCAAGAATTGCACCTGCTCTTCCCACACCTCAGGGTCCTGCTGCCCTGGCCCCAGCTGCAGGCTCTGTAGTCACATTCTGGGCTTTGCTACCACCTTGCCCTGGCTACCCTATCATGATGCTGATCATAAAGGAGGTAAGCAGAAGCCCTGGTTGCCCTGGGGCCACCAAAGCTCTGGGACTGATGACACACTGTGACTAAGTCAGGGAAGGCACGAAGCTGGCTCCAGGTAAGCCTCAGAATCCCCTTACCTCTTACCTGTGCAGAAGGCAGAAAGTCCTGGGGCAGCCTGTGCCCCGGACTCTGAGTCTCCGAGGCAATAGGAAACAAGGCCAGGTCATTGGAGGCAGGGGCTTCCAGAATGTAGCTGAAATGGCCCTGGGGCATGGGCTGCTGGAGGAGCTGTAAGATTCGGCTGAGGTCTGAGGACATGCGGGACTCCAGCCTGCCAGAGAGAATCCCACAGTCAGGGTTGGGGCTGGCAAGAGCAGTTCCGGTCCTGAGGGCAGCTGTCAATCTTGTAGCCTGTGTGCTGTTCCTGCTATATGGAATGGCGGCCTGGGGCTGACCTGAAGCTATTATCCTGTTGGGATCCACAGCCCCTGCCCAGATTCCCCCTGAGTCTAACACCAGTGACCAGGCACCAAGCATACAGCATTCAGTCCCCAAGATGCTTTGATGTGGATGTTTGAATTCTCCCAATTTCACCAAAGGGCAAACTAGGTTCAGAGCTGTTCAATAACTTGCCCACACTTTTGCTGGTAGGGCACAGAGCCAGAATTTGAACCTAGACAGTTCTGCTTCTAAGCCCTCACTCTCCCACCACAGCCCTGCCATCCACTGGACACACGCCCTTTCCCAGGACTTACGGAATTTGTTGTGCATAGTTGTGCCCCTCCCCCGAGAAGCTTCCTTGGCACGTTCCAGAGTTTGCTAGGGGACGTCATCCGGGGAATAGTGCTTAGTGACAGGTATGGGGAGACTTGCAGCTAATGGCTTGCCATTCTAAAACCCACCTGGCACCCCATGATGCCTCTGAGCCACCAGGAGGGGGCACCAATGCCCAGCCCCCAGACACCCCCACAGCACACTCACCTGTTCATCTGGGCCTGGAGCTGCTCTAGCCTGGAGCCTAGCTTCCGAGGCCAGCACTCTGGGTCTCCCTTAGGGCCTGGGGCGCTATGCCTTGGGGGCATTTGCTGCAAAAGCTCAGGCCAGAAGGCAGATGCATCTGAGATGCTCAGGGGAGGGGCTGCATCTGCAAGAGGGAAAGGGAAGTCTCAGCTGGGCCTAGCTGGTTCCACAGGCCTGACCCTTCTCGGTAGAGCCCATCTCCCACCCCCTACATGCCCTGGGGACAAGGGTGTGGGGAGTGACTCTCCTTACCTGGGTGCCCTGGAGCACAAGGTCCTGCCCCCAGGGAGTTCTGGCTCCCAGGACCCAGGAGGCTGTAGCCCTGGGAGGGGAGCTGGGGCCTCAGCTCATGGGGAAACTGGCAGGGTGAGGACTTTTAGCGCTGCTCTCACTGCCCAGAGAACTGCAGCCCAGTGGCCCCCCTGATGCCTTGGTGTGGAACTTCAGGGGCTGGCTAGTCTCTGTACACCCCTGGGAGCTGCATTTGAACCATGGAGCCCTCACTCTGCCCCTGAGGACATAGGCCATCAGGGCTGGGAGACTGGGGAGGAAGCAGGGCTGAGCCTCTGGCTCTGGGTCTAGAGAGGGAACCCCCCTCTACCCATGGCAGGGTGGCACTGTGGAGGCAGGATGGAGTGGACATGGGAGGGGCAGGAGGCTGGGCAGGGGCTGCGGCCTGGGGCTGGGCAGACACTGGCGGGGGCTGGCTTTGCTCACCTGACTGGTTGTCTTTGAGGAAGAAACCTTGGTGGTCTTGGCTGCCTGGAGCCTGTTGGGGGGATGAATGGAGACCCCCGGCTGCCTTGTGGGAAAAAAGAGGATGAAGTAACAGGAACCAAAGCTGGGATGAGGCCTCTGTTCTTCCCTGCCCTCAACCCACGGCGCTGTCACAACTAGGTGAAAGAGTAACAGGCAGCTGGGCACAGCAGCAATGCCCTGGGTGGCTTCCTGCAGATGGCCCAGGCTGCAGAGACCACACTCCTCCTGCCCTGGTGCCCAGCTACTGTGCATTCTGGTCACCTTCTGGCTGGGCCCCCAAAGCAGGGTCCTTACCAGATGTCTCCTATGCAGATGGTGGCGGGGAGAAACTGGGGAAGGGGAGAGCAGCAGAGGGGATGGTGTAGGGAGGGCTGTCCACAGCAAGAAAGCCCACCCAGGCCGGGTGCAGTGGCTCACACCTGGAATCCAAGCACTTTGGGAGGCTGAGGTGGGCAGATCATGAGGTCAAGAGATCGAGACTATCCTGGCCAACATGGTGAAACCCCCATCTCTACTAAAAATACAAAAATTAGCTGGGCATGGTATGCCTGTAGTCCCGGCTACTTGGGAGGCTGAGGCAGGAGAATCACTTGAACCTGGGAGGTGGAGGTTGCAGTGAGGTGACATTGTACCACTGCACTCCCGCTTGGCGACAGAGTGAGAATCCGTCTAAAAAAAAAGAAAGCCCACCCAGCTCCATGCTCAGGAAGCTGGGCACAGGGCCCAGGCCAGCAGAGCCCTCCCCTGAAGCAGATGGGTAGGGGCAACGGGAGAAACAGCCCAGACTCTGTGTTTCATGGCCAGGTGCACCTTCCCTTCTTCCCTTCTTCTGGTTCCAGATCCCTCCTCCCTGATACCCCACTCTGGGCATTCCCAGGGTCGGTCCTGGTTGTCACACTCCTTGGCAAGCTTGATCTCCACATGCTTCTCCTTTATACCCTTGAGACTTTGGCTATTTTGCTTTGTGGCTTTTTATTTTTTTTGAGTTGTCAAAATCTCCTCTACTGAGGGATGAGTGTGAGAAGAGAGACAGTTTTGTCACTTCTTGGCAGTACCTGTACTGAGCCATCTGGACAGCAGGCACCATCCTTTTCAGCTTGGTATAATTGGGTGGGAATACCTGAGCTTTGGAGTCAGCCAAATTAAATTCACATTTTGGCTCTGCCATTTACTAGCTGAATGGCTTTAGCCAGTTTATTTACTATCTCTGATCCTCAGTTTCCTCATCTGGAAAATGGGGATAATAACACCAATTGCAAGGAGATCATGTAAAAGAAGCCCCACCCTTAGCATAGTCGGTGCTTAATAAATATTAGCTATCCTCATACTTAGCATTATGTCAGCCATGGTAGGCACAGAAGAAATTCTGGCAAAAGTTGCAGAATGGGGTTGGTCAGATGGGTGCCCTCAGGCCAGGCAGGCCAAGCCCTCAGCAGGCTGCCTGGGCATTTCCTGTTACCAGCCGGCCGAAAGTCACCACCCACCCTGGCCCACCTGGCCCTGACTCACTTCCCGAAGGTTGAAGGTGACCTCCAGCTTACTCCAGAAGCTGTCCGCAAAGGCCGGGTACATGTCCAGCACTTCCAGCAGGTCTGCCCGCTGGATCTTGTGCAGGTCGCAGTAGGTCAGAGCCCGCACGTCTGCACTGGACTTGCCCGGCTGGGCATGGAGGCTGACAGGCTCCCCAAAGATGTCATTCTTCCCTGCCAGCCAGAGGGGTGGGAGTCTCTTCAGGGTCTGGCTCCATGCTCCCTTATGAGGGTCTTTGACCGTGACCTCCCCCAACCTTGGACATCCTTCTAGGCTGGGGCCTGCTGCCCAGAAGCGAGCTCTGGGGACAGGGCTGGATGTGGGTTGACCGGGGTGGGGTGAGGGGTTCTCTTCCCATGTCTAAGATCTCTGAGCTGCACAGAGATCCATTGAGAGCCACTCTCACCCCCAGCGCGTGGCTCCTCTCACTGTCTCCAGGCTTTTCAGAACCACCCTCCATCAGAATCTGCCTCCTGTAGCCCATACTCTTTGGCACAGTGGGCAGGAAGAGGCCCTAAAGGCTCAATATCTGTCTCTACATCTTCCTGTTGCTTGGCCTGAAGTGCTGTGGAGCAGGGTGCAGGAAACCCAGGGCCAGAGCACCTAACTCCCCAGGGCAGGGCCAGAGGCTTCTCTTTGTCTTCCCACTCCTGATTATGGGGCCAGGTAACCGGCATGGCCTTGGTAGAGGAAGCCTGGAGAAGTTACTCCTATGTGGATCCCAGAGTCTTAGTCTCTAACATGGGTAAAACCTGATCTGCCTTGCCAGCCCCACTGGACTGTTCAGGGAAGCAGATGAGGTGATGCTTGAGAAAGTGACTCAAAAAGCAAGAGGCAGCTGGGCACAGTGGCTCATGCCTGTAACCCCAGAACTTTGTGGGATGGAGGCGGGCGGATTATTTGAGGTCAGGAGTTTGAGACCAGCCTGGCCAACTGGTAAAACCCTATCTCCACTAAAAAAACCCAATGAAAACAAAAGTTAGCCAGGTATGGTGGCCTGTAATCCCAGCTACTCAGAAGGCTGAGGCAGGAGAATCACTTGAGCCCAGAAGGCAGAGATTGCAGGGAGCTGAGATCATGCCACTGCTCTCCAGCCTGGGCGACAGAGTGAGATTCCATTAAAAACAACAACAACAACAACAACAAAAACAAAAAACAAGAGGCAACTGACTAGATCCATGCAAGGCAAGGGGGAAGGATGTCCCAGGGTAGACATGGGTGATATTCAGGTATGCGGCAAGGGTATTGGGCCCTCCTGGTGCCGGGTGCTGTGCTGGCCAAGTAATATAAATATAAGTATAAATATAAGATGTTATGCCACCCACAAAGAGCTCCTCAAATCCCTGCAAGACAGGTACATAAGCAGCCAACAAGTTTACAGCATGATCTTTGGAGCCCTAGAAACAGGAAGAATCAAAAGCTATGGGGCCATGGAGGAGAGAGGGGCTCTTCCTGCTAGGGATGGCTGGGGCAGAAAGGAGGGGCCTTGCAGAGGAAGTGAAATGGGGGCTGTATTGAGAGAAACAAAGACGGTCCCCACGAGAAAGGCAATCAGGGCAGAAGAAACAGCATGTGGTCAGCACTGCATGACTTGGGGGTGGAGAGCCCAGGGCTGGGGTGCCACAGAGCATGGCTGCTTTGATTCCCATTCCCCCAGGAAAGTGCAGTGTCCTTAGCCTGGTGACACTGTGCAAGCAGCACTAACAGTTCAGCGTAGACAGAGGGATGGGTGGAGGCCTGGCCATGTCCCCGCAAGAGAACAGGATCAAAGAGCATTCACAGAGGAGGGGGCTGATGCCTGGAGAGGGAAGGGGCTCGCCAGGGTCACACATGAAACCCTTAAGCTTGAAATCTGGGCAACATTATAACTTGATGGTTTTCCAGTAGATGAAGGATTCTGATCTAATGTCTATTTCCACTGAGGACAAAATGAGAGGTTTCATGTCTCTAACTGAAACTTAAATTGGATTAACTTCTTAATTATTTATAATAATTATCATCCCTCCCACATGGACAGCACTTCTAAGGTAGGCTGGGAGTGAGAGAAGGTCTCAGGCAGAAACCTATGCCTGAGCCCAGCCTTGGAGGACAACTGGGATCTGCCAGACTGGCACAGGGTAGGGTGCTCCAGGCAGAGTGGCAGCATGTGCAAGGACACAGATTTAGAGAACACTAAGTAGTTTGGCTGGAGCATGAAGTAGCAGGGGGAGGGTGGCAGGACAGGGTGGTGGGATTGGGAGAACTGAGCGTGCATGCATAGACTATGGGGAACCGTGGAGGGATCTTGAGCAGAGGAGGCAAATGGACAGATGTCTATTTTAGGTCACTGGCAGAAGGTGGAAGATGAGCATGGGAGTAGACCAGATGCAGGGCCGTGGGAAAGGAGTTCCCAACACCTCTCCAGGAAGGACACAAGGAAGGCTGGATCCAGGCAGGGACAGGGAGACAGGTGTGAGATGGAGAGGTATGGACGAGTCTGGCTGGTGGGCAGTGGGCAGCAACAAAGTAGGATGACCCCTTGGCTGACTGTGGCACAAGAAATGGGCAGATGGTTCACAGGGATGGGGAAGTTGAAGGAGCTGGTTGTGAGGAAAGGTGATGATTTCAGGTTGGGATATATTGAGTTTGATCTGCTTATAGAATACTAGAGTGGCCATGCCTAGAGAAGTGGAATGTTGTGGTCTAAGGAGAGAGGGGCCGGGACAGAGCTCTGGGGATCCTTGTGGCAAAACGAAGACTGAGGCCATGTGTGCAAGGAGCAGGCCCATGGGAGGGTGTCAGGTAGGAGCAGAGAGGAGAGCAGAGCACCAGCAGGCCAGAGGAAGAGGAGGGGCAGGGGAGCCCGAGGGGAGTCTGTCCAGAGGGGCTGGAGGATAGCCAGGTCATGGGGACCTAAGGAGGGCAAGGCTGAAGTTGGGGTGGAGATGAAGTCATGGGGCAGGTAAGGAAGACGAGAATCAAGGAGAGGACCCTGTGATGCCCTCAGAGAGGTTAAGTGACTTGCCTAAGGTCACACAGCAGGCACATGGCAGAGGCTGCTTGTGACCTGTCTGTCCCCCTGCCCAGTGCTCATATCCTTCCTCCAAAGTGTCTGGCTATCCCTGTGTCTGCACTGAATGAGACTGGGGTCTCTAAAGTGTCTGGCATCCAAAGGACTGGGGTCCCCAGCCATGGCATCCCCCTCCACCCAGAGAGACCCTTGGCCTTTCTCCCTGAACTCAACAAGAGTGGAAGAAGGTAGGAAGGCCTGCCTGGGCTTCTGAGTCACACTGTCAGCCCTGGAATCCCTGCTTGGCCAAAGACTAGCATGATCTCCCTCAGCCTCAATTTCCCTCTCAGGAAAATGGGACCTCTGGCAGAGGGTTGTTTTAAGGATTCAGGGAGCTAGGTATAAAGCTCTCCCAGGCACGAGCTCTGCATGTGGCTGGCCAGTAAAAGTAAAATTCTCATCAGGAAGAGGGTGGCCCAGGCAGGGCATCTCCCATTCTGCCCCCTTCCATCCAATCCCCAACACAGGCCTGGTTCACTCCGCCTGACCTACCTAGGATGGCCACGACCACGTCGTCGCGCAGGATCTCGATGGAGCCTCGGGAGATGAAGTAGAGCGTGGAGAGCACGTCGCCGAGGTGCACCAGCGTGTCCCCAGGTGGCGCGTGCGTGGTCTTGAACTTGACGGCTAGGGCGCGCAGGCAGCCCTTGCTGGCGCCGCTGAACGCCGGGCAGTGCTGCAGAAGCGCGCGGTGCAAGTGCAGGCAGATGTCGGCCTGCAGGCACTCAGGAAAGCCCTTCAGCACCTGGAAGGCGAGTGGCCCAGTCCAGGGGGGCATGGCCTGGTTAGGGCTTGAGGAGAGGGTGGAGAGGGCTCTGGGGATGCCCCGCCCCCGCGGGACCTTGGCTCCCCCTAGGGCGTTAGCCGGAGCGGTGGGGCTCACCGCGTTCATGTCAATGCCGTTGGTGTAGGACCAGGCGTGCTGGAAGTACTCCTCCAGGCGCTGGCGCAGCGGGTTGGGGATCTGGTGGAAGCGGATGAACTCCTTGACCCGCAGCATCTGCGTGTGATAGCGCGCGGTGCCCGAATACAGGCGCTGGATGATCGCGGACACATTCCCGAAGATGCTGGCGTACATCAGGGCTGAGGGCGGGGAGAGAAGTGAGCTCCGCAGCCCCGCAGGGCCACGCCACCTAGGGCCTACTCCAGGCCTTCCTTTTTCCAGCAGCCCCCGATGACGGACCCCTCTGTCTAAGGAGAAGTCAGGAGTGACCAGGACAGCGCCAGGGCACATAGAAGACAAAGGCCCCTGGGCTTCCTGCCCTCCTCCCTCTGCCCTGTGCCTCTTGGCATCTTACTGGGCCCAGCGGTCAAACTCCCAAGAAAGAAGGCAGGCAATGGATTTTCAAAGTTCAGATCTACCTTCTCCTTCAAGTTGTAGAAATACAATAAAGAGAAAACTCTCCACAAGGTGTGGTGGCTCAGGCCTCAATCAGCACTTTGGGAGGCCGACGTGGGTGGATCACCTGAGGTCAGGAGTTCAAGATCAACCTGGACAACACGGTGAAATCCCATCCCTACCAAAAAAATATAAAAATTAGCCAGTCATGGTTGTGCCTGCCTGTAATTCTAGCTGCTTGGGAGGCTGAGGCATGAGAATCACTTGAACCCAGAAGGTGGAGGTTGCAGTGAGCCAGTACCGTGCCACTGTGTTCCAGCCTGGGTGACAGAACAAGACTGTCTCAAAAAAAAAAAAAAAAAACAAAAAAAAGAGCAAACTCTCAATTTTTTGTTTTCACCCGTTTTCTTCCCTTGTTTTTGTTTTTCTGAGCTTTCACATCTCTAAATCCTCTGAACATGACAACTCAATCTAGGTGTAAAATTCCACGCTGCCTTTTATGTTCCTAACCCAGGTGTCTTGGGAGGCAGGCAGCTGGGAGCAGGAACTGAGAGCAGCACAGCCTTGGAGCTGAACACCTGGGCTGGGATCAGGTCACTGACATTTCCTAGCTATGTGCCCTCTGGCAAGTTAGCACCATGTGGTTTCTTGATTTGTACACAGGGCTCAGAAGGGAATGAGATTTGGGCTTTTGTAAAGTGTTTAAAAGAGTGCCTGGCAGGGCTGGCTTCATGTATGCAACCTGTGTGGACACACGAGGCTGCATGCTAAGAGCCCTGTGTTTGGTTTAATACTCAGCTGTCACTGTCAAAAAAAATCTTAATAATTTTTTTTTGAGATGGAGTCTCTGTTGCCCAAACTAGAGTGCAGTGGAACCATCTTGGCTAACTGCAATCTCCGCCTCCCAGGTTCAAGCGATTCTCCTGCCTCAGCCACCTGAGTAGCTGGGATTACAGGCATGTACCACCACACCCAGCTAATTTTTGTATTTTTTGTAGAGACAGTGTTTCACCATGTTGGTCAGGCTGTTCTCAAACTCCTGACCTCAAGTGTCCACCTGCCTTGGCCTCCCAGAGTGCAGGGATTACAGGCTTGAGTCACTGCACCTGATTCTTAATTTTTCAACAAGGGTCCCTATGCTTTTATTTTGCTCTGGGCTCTGCAAATTATGTAAATTTGCTCTGGGCCCTGCAAATTATTTCCTGGTGACTGGCAGATAGTACAGGCTGTGTGAGTGTTAAATTTTGTGTACAATTGGTGCACACACCAGCAAAAATTCGTTGTGCTGCACACTTAGGATCAGTGTACTGCATGAATTATTGCTGTGTATTATATTCTATCTCAGTACAAAACTAACAAATAAAATTTCATAGGTAAGGCCAGGATATGAGGTTAGGCCATGGCATGAGGTCTCACTCACAGCCGATGAGCATGACGCAGATGGAGAAGACCTTCTCGGAGTTGGTGTTGGGCGAGACGTTGCCAAAGCCCACGCTGGTGAGGCTGCTGAAGGTGAAGTAGAGGGCTGTGACATACTTGTCCTGTACCGAGGGGCCTGAGGCTGGGTCGCTGCCGTTGTAGCGCTTGCCAAGCTGCACACCCAGGCTGTCCAGCCAGCCGATCTTGTGTTCCAGGTAGGGCCGCTCCACGTTGCCAATGGCATACCAGATGCAGGCCAGCCAGTGCGCGATGAGCGCGAAGGTACACATGAGCAAGAAGAGCACAGCTGCCCCATACTCAGAGTAGCGGTCTAGCTTCCGTGCCACGCGCACCAGCCGCAGCAGCCGTGCTGTCTTCAGTAGCCCAATCAGGGTTGTGGTCTGGAGGGGCAGGGAAATGGTCACAGGGCTGGGGTGTCAGCCCTTGGAAGGGTGTACTCAGGCCTGCTTTTGTTCTCTCATGCATACAACCACATAGTCATTCAACAAACATTTATGGAGAACCTGCTCCAGGCCATGCACTTGGCAGTGCATGGTATGGGACCTTAAGGATCTCAGCCTAAAGCTCAAAACAGTGTTCTGGTTGCTAGGACAGAAGTCCAGTAGAGCACAGTGGAAGGGGAGGTCAAGTCTGCCGGGGTAGGTCGGGAGGCTTCACGGAGGAGGCGACGCATGAGCCGAAACTTGAGAGAGGAGGCTAGGGCTCCAGGCAGACAGGAGGGAGAGGGAAAGGGCACTCCTGGCTCAGGGAGCAGCACGAGCAGCAGCACTGAGGTGTGAAGTGTTTGGCCCACAAGGGAAACCAAGTGTGGCACTGCAGCCTGGTGCACATGTGGGAAATGGAGGAGCAGTGAGAACCATGCCTGGGAAGGGCAGGGTGGGCAAGGGCTGCTCCCTGTGGGCCTCAGAGTCTATCACAAGCTTGGCTTTTATTCTGCACACCTTGGGGAGCCACTGAAAATTCTGAGGACCCTGTACATCCCAGAGGATGGAACACAGGGTCAGGTAAGTGATCTGAAAGTTGCTGAGGCAGCTGTGTGGAGGGGCGGGAGGCTGGCAAGTTTTGTGCTGGGACACAAGTGAGTACAAATGCCACTCAGTGTCCAGGTGGGGACAGTGGGGGCAGATTTGCTGAGGGGTGGCATTAGGGGTGCTTGGAGCAGAGGATCCCTGCTAGACGCCCCCTGCTGGACAAGTTGGCATAATGAGGGGGCACTGGAACACATAAGGCAGAGCGGATTTCAGTGAAAAGCTGATCCTGAGGAGTGGGGCAGGAGGAGACTGTGGGACTAGAAGCTATGAGAAAGGCATGAAAATGCCTTCACATCACCTATGGGTAGCCTGATGGGCATAGTGGAGGGCTAGAGGGTAAGGCAGGAGCAAGGCTGCACTGGAGGAGTGGCCTGGGGATCCCTTTCTTCCTCCAGGGTGAGTGCAGTTTGGAAGTCGGCATGAGTGGTCAAGACCACATAAGTGCCCGTCCTGGAAGGGGTAGCCTGCTTCTCTCACCAGGGCCTGCTCAGAGAGGGGGCAGAGGGGCAGAGGCCTGGGGGGTGCAGTCTCGGCTAGTCCTTCTCCAGGGCTGAGAGGTGACAGATGCTTAGGGCCTCCTCTCCACCAGCAAAGGTGCCCAGGCCCAGGTACTCTCCACACTCAGTGCTGTGCAACAGGGAGGGCTTGAGGCCAGCATGCAGAGGACAGCCATGGCTGCTGGCCTGGAGGGGGTCTGCTCACCTCATCAGAGCCGGTGCGGAAGATAAGGAGGTCGAAAGGGATGGCGGCCACCATGTCGATAAGGAACCAGCCCTTGAAGTAGTGGACGACGATGCGGCGGGGGTGGCTGACCACCTCATCGTTGTTGTTGACGTAGGTGGTGCGGAAGTTGATGATAATGTCCACGACAAACATGATGTCCACGATGAGATCCACCACGGTGAGGGGACTGCAGGTATAGCTGCAGGCCCCACGCCGTGACTCATCCTGGTCACTGAGCAGGAAGGCGGCTGAGTAGGGCGTGAAGACGGCTGTGTAGATGACTAGCAGTAGGATGAGCCAGTCCCACACAGCCTTGAAGGGGCTGTAGTGCAGGATGGTCCAGCGGTGGATGCGTGGCACCTGCAGCTTGTACTCGGGTAGCACATCGGCACCCAAGGACAGGACCTGGGGGTGGGGGCCAAGGGTGGTCAGGTTGGGGGTGGCCACTGCTGGTGAGACCATCATGGAAGGTTGAGGCCTGGGGAGGGTATAGTGGGAAAGAGTGGGTGACCAGCACTCTGCCAGGCAGAGGGCATGAGGGAGAGATGGGGTGGTGGATGACTGAGAAGGCAAGTTCTTAAGGGGACAGATGCCTGGGGAGGAAGTGCAGAAAAAGGAGGTGGGATGCAAGAGGAGGGGTGTGGCTCTGCCCCATAGTGAACCCAGGTTTGATGCTCACAAGCTCCCTTGGAAACATCCTGAAGTGGGTGGAGCCAGGACAGGAGAGGGCCAGGCCCATGTCATCTGTGGGTCCATTCCACACAAGAGCCCACTGAAGGGGTAGCTGGTGGGCTGATCCTCTCTGGTGGGCTTGGGAGGCCCCCTATGGTCAGTGCTCCTGATAGGAACAGGTCACTCCTAGAAGAGTGTCTTCCTTTCTGAGGGCCCTCCGGAGCCTGGACCAGTGAGCATCCTCTCTGGGGCCAACTCAGAACCTCCCATGGAAAGAGTCCATGGAGTAGGGGTGTGGCCAACCTGGACCCTCAACAGGTTCTGGGCATCAAGGAAAACTGACTCCTCCTCACATGTCCAAGGGTTTGGAATCATCACCTTCAGCAGAGCCTTCTCCCTTCTCCCCTCCTCCCCTGCCGCCAAGACTGTGACCAACCCTGGATCCCTAGGCCCCAGCACAACATGCCCCAGCTCTGCCCAGCTGCCCAACACAAGAGATGGCCAGGGCATGGGTGCTGAATCTAGGCCTCCCCTGTTGAATTCCAGATCTGACATGTGCTACAGGTGAGCCTTGGGCAAGTTTTATAACCTCTGTGAGCCTCAGTTCCCTCATCTGCAACATGGAATCACAAAGGACAACAAACGCCACAACAAAAGTAGTGAGGAACATCTATTCTACATCTATTCTCATGTAGATGGTGAGATTCACCTGTTCTCATGCAGATGGTGAGATTCATCTGTTCTCATGCAGATGGTGAGATGCATTTATTATCATGTAGATGGTGAGATGCACCTGTTCTCACATAGATGGTGAGATGCACTTGTTCTCATGTAGATGCTGAGAAGCACCTGTTCCCATGTAGATGGTGAGATTCATCTGTTCTCATGTAGTTGGTGAGATGTACCTATTCTCATGTAGATGGTGAGATTCATCTATTCTCACAGAGATGCACACACTCCTCTACATGCTAATTCCCCATCCACTATCCTCCTCCCTCATCCTCATCAGACACTGCTACAAACAAGGATGGAGCCAGAGGAGTGTCCCATGGACCCCCCCACCTCCCACCAGATGAGATCTGATGGATGGTTCTCATTTAGGAAAATTTGCAATGTAAGGTTTGACCACGCAAACAAAGTCAATTAGCAGATGGGATCACAATAAGGAAGATCCACTTGGTTTCAACCAGCAGGTCCCTATCTGACATCCAAACCCTTGAGTGGGGCATCTGTGTCTCCACCCTGCAGTGACCTGCTCAGCCTTGAGGCCTTGCTGTGCACTTCCCCAGGAAGCCCCTCTGACTCCACATGAACTTGGGTTCTTTTTAAATTTTCTGCCTGCCCTGTATCCACCCAGCTGCATGGTGATTCTCTACTGAGCTATAGGATTGCTGAGTTTGGCTCCCTCACTGACCCTCTTCTCCCTGTGTGCCTAGCTCTTGGTCCACATGGGCTCTCAACTACAGACCCCTGAATGAGCATGGGAAACTGGGGCTCTGATCGCACCCTGGGCATCAGAGCCATTCCCCCTCCTCCCGGGGGCCACCAGGACCCTGCTAGGGTGAAACAAGGCCCTTCCCTAGGCCTGCCTGGGTGGGGAGTGGGAGGGAGACAGAAGGAATGGTGGTGTTTAAAGTAGGCTGAGAAGAGAGTTCCTCAATTCCTCAGGGTCCCCAGACAGGGGGACCCCCAAAATCTCCCACTGCCTCCAAAGCGAGGTCAAAGGCCCTTCATGGCAAAGCCCACCCTGCCCAGTGTCCCCCAGAGCTGCAAAGCCCTCAGGATACTCGGGCTCTAGTGTAAGGCCATAGCCATTGAGGCTCTTTAAGTTCTGGTTGAGGCCGATGTGACTTCCCTGATCTGGGTCCTCGCCTGCCGCTTCCCCTGAGATCTGTCAGACACCTCCCTGGGCCTAGGACCCACATGGAGCAGGGGAGTGATGACAAGAAGGGCCAAGCTGAGGAACAAACAGGGGCAGGCAGGTTGGGCAGGCGCTGGGACTATGGGCCCCAGTCAGCCCTGGCCATCTTCACCGACCACTCTCCAGTCTAACAGCCCCCACCATGGTAGCCACCAATAGTGGCATCAACCTAAGATGCACTGGGCTAAGCAGCTGGGGGGTTTCCCAGGGTCAGGCTTTTGGGACACTCTGTCTGACCTCAGAGGGCACAGTCCTGTAGCTTGGGGTCCCATCCTTCTCAGGATCCTTGAGCTCAGTGAGGTGCTGAGTGGTCTTCCCCACACCTGGTTCCAGCATCAATTGTGTTTCAGGTGAAAAGAGGTAGGGGGGAAAAGAGCTGTCCCCAGCCCCAACACAAAGACAGCCCCAGGGAAGCTGGGAGCAGGCCCTGCCATGCTCTGCATTGCTCAACCTTGGTCTGGGCCCCTGGCTATGACTTACAGCTTGTCTGCCTCCTGGGACCAGCACTACTCAATGTCAAATGGGTCCCCAGAGACCATTTAGTCCTTATCTGGGACAATTTAGTCCTTACCTCTCCTGCAGATGAAAGCCCTGAGGCCTAGAAAGGGGGCTGGAAGTTCCCTGGCCAAGGTCACATAGAAAGTCAGTGCCAGGACTCTGGCCATGGGAGCCTCGGGGGGCTCCTTGCATTTCCCTCTGGAATTGTCAGGCATTCGAGCCTCATGAGAAGGGACAGCAGGGTGAGCTGGAGCAGAGGACCCAGGGAAGTCTGCCTTGAGCTGGCCAAGGAGGAGGCTGCAGGGGTCCTTCAGGGCCTGGCCCCCAGGAAGCTGATCAAAGATAACTGGAGGTGCCAGCCCTGCCCTGCCCTGCCTGGCATGCAAGAGGATCCTGTGTTCATGTTGGAAGGAAGTAGGGAGGGTGGCTTTTGTCTCAAAGGCAAGGGGCTGACACAGGGCTGGGACCTCCCCACGGCTCTCCTCCCATTTTGGCCCTGGCATGTGTCCTCTCTGCCTCTCCTTCCTTGGAACTGGCTGAGCTCTGGGGAGGCTCCCATGGTGGCCTGCATGTCCACCACATGCCCTGGCTTCTCCAGGCCTAGGAAGCAGCATCACTCATAGGCCCTGCTGACCCCAGCCTCCTCTGGCTCCAGGAGCTGGGCACCAGGGCTGTGACCTCAGGGCAGGCCTTTAGGTCTTTAGAACTCAAACAGGACAAGAGGCCTGCCTGGGGCTCAAACCAGATATTAGAGGCTGGATGGGAAGAATTTCTTTGCCAGCTAAGGCCCCAGAGGGCCTGGGCCCAGAGCCTGGAAGGGGACCCTGGAGACCTGGCACAGCCCCGCACATCGTGCCCTGCAGGCCCGTACCTGGGTAACCTTCTCAGTGACATTCTGTGTCCGCTCTACCACCTTGTGGGGCGCGATGATCTCAATCTCTGTGGTGGAGCTGGAGCGGTGCTTCTCCAGGTTGAACTCCACGAAGTTGAGCGTGAACTGTGGGATCTGGCTGATGGTCCTGTACTTGCCCCTGCCTGTGCCTAGTCCTGGTCCACCCGGCCTGCTGTGAGAGCCCTCTGAAACCGGGGATGGAAGTCAGAGCAGCCACAGCCAGGGAGTCCTTCCCACCACCACCCACACCCCATCTCACCGGAGCCCAGGAAGCTCTGGGACAACAGGCGCTGGGACAAGCTGCGGCTGCTGCGCTTGGCCAGGAGCTCGGCCAGGTCCTCGAAGTTGAGGATAAACATGATGACAGCCCCATCCTCGTTCTTCACAGGCACCACATCCACCAGGCAGCGGAAGCTGGAGGCTGCAAATGTCATTGGGAGTATGGAGGGTGGGTGGGCCCTGAAGGGGTCCCCTCCTGCAGTGACCTGGCTAGAGAAGGGGCTGAGTGAAGGTCAAGTGAAGGTCAGCCACTGGGGTTAAGAGGCCTGGACAGTAACCAGAGCTACTGGGCAGAGGGTGGGTGAGGTTGCGCAGCTGGTGCTCCTCCCACAGGGCAGAGGCAGGGAGAGCAGCTAAGCTGCTCATTAGGAGATAAGGTAGCATCAGATCAGGCCCAAGTCCATGCTCAGCCATCAGCTCAGAGCTTAACCTCGGGGTCTGCTTCTGCTGTAATTAAAGCTGAGCAGATGGGGGTGGATTAAGTGGGGAGGTGAGGCTGGGCATTCTACCCCATGGAGCTGGGTTGGCTATGGCCTCTCTTCCCATATTCCCATCCCACAAAGATGCCCTTCTCCTGCCATGTGGGGAGGAACTTGTTGAAAGCATACTAAGTGCTGAGCACAGGGCCAGTTGAAACGTTAGGCCTCAGGAGGTCCTTGGGGGGCAGGCATGGACCCCCATTCTGCAGAAGAGAGGCTGGGACTCTCAGAAACTGACTTGCAAGGGTTGGGAGGGGGCATGGAGAGAGGAATTTTGGGTTTGCAGGACAGGATAGCTTGGAAAAGGGAAGGGACTTGTCTGGGAGGAAGGTGCTGGGGCCAGAACCAGGCTGCTGCTCTGGGCCTAGGAGGAATGTGGGATCCCAAGGCAGGGCGGGGCCCAAGGAGCAGGCAGGGCAGTGGCCTGGGTGCCAGAGAGGGAGGGGGATGGCCATGTGGGGGCAGGACAGGCCCCTCCCACCACCCTCCCCACCATCCTGGGCAATCCATACCCAGCTGCTGGCTGCCCTGTGCCTCTCAGACCACAGTCTCTGTCCCTCTCTCTGCTCCAGGGTCTCACACAGCCCCCATTGGTGGGTGGAACAATACCAGCTAAAATGCTGCCCCATATCTGGCCTGGCACAGTGGCTCACGCCTGTAATCCTAGCACTTTGGGAGACTGAGGCAGGTGGATCAATTGAGGCCAGGAATTCAAGACCAGCCTGGCCAACATGGTAAAACCCCATCTCTACTAAAAACACAAAAATTAGCCAGGCATAGTGGTGTGCACCTATAGTCCCAGCTACTTGGGAGGCTGAGGCAGGAGAATCACTTCAACCCAGGAGGCTGAGGTTGCAGTGAGCCAAGATCATGCCACTGCACTCCAGCCTGGGTAACAGGGCAGTCATCTGTCTCAAAAAAATAAGAAGAAATGAACAAAATACCCCATACCCAAGAGCCCCAGGCGAGGCACCCCATGAGCACCCTCTCTGTGGGAGTCCTATGACCCTGAAAGTGCTGGCAGGTGTCAGGCCCAAAGGGTCAGGGGCCTCAGGTGGCCATGCAAATGAGAAGGTGGAGCTGCACTCCCTGAGGGCAGGTTAGGCTCTGTTTCACCTGTCCCAGGTGTTGTTTGTTGACTGAGTGAATGGAAGCCTGTGTGTGTGAGTATGGGGGATGCAGGCTGGCCACGGTGGGAGTATCACTGCTATGGCGCTCACTGGATCGACTCTCCACCAGACTCCTTGTTTTTTTTGTCCTCAGTTCCTCCTCACAGCCATCAGAGCTGGGCTACAGATGAGCCACCCTTATCCTCCCTCTCGCTTTCCTCTCCGGGGAGTAGGAATCTCCCATATCAGATTCCTGGACTCCCAGGCACCAGGCAGCCATCTGTCATCTACTGCCTGGGCCCAGGGGAGACATCCACACTGGGGAGAGGTGCCTGTCTGCTTCACCCAATCCTGGGCACACAGGGCTATAGGCCCAGACTCCCAGACCCAAGCCCATCACTCTAGTCAGCCTGGGGCATGGCAATGCTTGGACGCTGGGACCTAGACAGGGCGCCTCCTTGTCCAGTGGCCTGGGACACTGCTCCTAAGGCCAGATTATATTGTCAATCTCTCTGGCACTGCAGAGATCTGGCCTGGTAGGGGGCTGGAAAAGGGCAGAGCTGGGCAGAGAGGCAGGGGGCCTGTAGGCTCTCTAAGCTGCTGGGGGCTGCCAACACACAGTCTTGGAGTGGCTGCATCCAGCAATTGATGTTATTGGAAAATTGATGCAGTTGGAAAACTGCAGCTGGGAATGGACCAAAGACCAGCCCATTATAGCAGTGAGAGCTGGGGCTGGGGTGGGGGGGGTGTCAGTGTGTGGTACCCCATGCCCCACCCCCATGCCTTCGGCCTGTGGAGTAGGTAGACAGGAGGCTAGGAGGATTTAGAAGAGTCCAGAGCATTCTCTCTCCCCCTCTCAGCCCCAGGCTGTCCTTGCTTACCCGTGGCTTGAGCCCCCACACAACAAAAGCCCACATCTAGGTGACCAAAAGTGGGTGAGTGTACCATCTCAGGTTGTGCCCAGGAGTGCCAGGCAGTGTTCCCGTGCCCTCACCGGGGCCCTCTTCATCCTTTCAGGAGCTCCTCCCAGCATGCACCTCTCCAACCAAGGGCAACAGTTTTGTCTGTCCTCTGGAAATTCCCATTCCTTCTTATCTGCTAGGTTCTTACTTTTCTTAGCAAAAGCACCCTACTTCTCTCCCCTGGGATACCCCACTTCTCTTTGCTCTTCTCTTCCTCTCAAATGTGCTCCTTCCTTCAGTTTCTCAGCACTCACAGCCTCCTTGTTGTCTTCACCCCATCTCCTGATGCATACTCTATCCAGCACTGTGGTGAGCCCCCAGGGAGGGAATGCTGCTACAAAAAGCTACGGCTGAGAGGGTGGCCACTGCATGCCGCCTCCTGACTTGGTCCTCCTGTCATTCATGGCTGCCCATATGGAAAACATAGCGGGAGGATGAGGGCAGACAGCAGCCCCTGTCCTGTCCTCCTCATCCAGAGCTGAGGACTGGAGAAGTCCCAGGCCTCCTGTGATCTGGCTTGGGGAGTAGGGGACTCCCTGGTTCAGGATCCTCAGAGAAGAGGACCCCGGAAAGGCAGGCTGGGGTGGGCTCTCGGGCAGGTGCCAGTGCGGGGCAGGTGTGGGTGACAGTGGGCGGATCTGAGTGCTCTCCTTTCTTCCCTCCGAACTCTCGACGGTTCTAGTCCTGCCACATGGCCGTTTCTTCTTATCTGTTAGGTTCTCACCACTTCTAGCAAAGGCAAATAGAGGAAGAGCCAGTTTCCGAGGGGTCTCTGAACTGTCTCCTGGGGTATTTTTGCCGAGTGCACTGGCCTCTTTGAGCCCAAATGTCTGTAGCTGCACAATGTGGAGCTATGTGAACCCAAACCCTCCACGTTGACTTCGAGAATTTTCAGTGGATTACCCCTTTAGAGGAAAAGAGGATTATACAAAAATCAGCTAGAGATTTGCTCAGGACCCCTTCCCACCACCCCTGAAGTTGGGAGTTTGGGGGAAGGGAGGTATTGACCAGAGGAGGAAATTAATCACCATTAGGATGCCCCTCAGCAGGACTGTAAGATGTTGGTGAATATGATCAAAAAAGGATCATGTGCCAGCCTGGGCAACATAGTAAGACCCTATCCCTACAAAAAATTAAAAAATTAGCCAGTTGTGATGGTGCACACCTGTAGTCTTAGCTACTCAGGAGGCTGAGATGGGAGGCTACAGTGAGCCTTGTTCTTGCTAGCCTGGTTGACAGAGTGAGACCCTGTCTCAAAAAAAAAAAAAAAAAAAAAAAAGGATTATATGTGGTCAGAGTGAACTTTAAGGTGAATATCAGTTATCTTAGCACAACATCCTTCCCTTAGCGTAATGCAGGCCAGGAAGCTACCTTTTCTGGGTTTCAAAACAATTTCAGGAAGGTCCAGGTAGTCGAAGTCTTGGGCAATAAGATAGGGAAGGGCTGAGGGTGGGATGGGAGGAGATTGGGACTTATAGGGTACCAGGTATGTGGGTAATTTCCCATTTTTACCCAAAGTCAGCCCCCAAGATGAGGTTTCTAGGTTCCCTTCTGAGAGCTGAGGACACCTGCAGGATTCTGATTTGAGTCCTGATCTCAGGGGGTCAAGGCCAGGCTTTGACTTCCGCCCTCTGCCCAGATACCTGCAGGGTGCTGAGGGGACCCCAAGAGCCATAACCTGACCCCAAGAGCCATCCCTAGGAGTCTGGGATCAGGTATAGTTTTAGTGACAAGGAGAGGGAAAGAAAGGACCTACTGTACCCACCCCCCATTTCCTGCTGTCCCATCCTGTTCCCCCAGGACCCTTCTCACTCCCCTGACTCTCACCTCCTCTCTGCAATGATGTGAGGAGGTGAGGTCACAGTTTTAAATATTCTGACTTCATTAACCTTGTGAGTACTGCCACACTAAGCCAGATTCTTCCCAGTCACTTCCTGGCTGCCCCTGCCTGCTGCACTTCCCACTGCCACTCATTCGGGTGGAACAACTCACTCAGCAGGAACAACCAGGACCTACCCAAGAAGCTCTCTGAGAAGCCTGCAAACACATACACACACACACACTTGCAAGCACAAACACACACACACAGGCACACACATGTTCATGTTCCACACACTCCAGGCCCCTGAAACTCAGGTTCTCGGCACCCCTCAGTCCCAATCCAGAGGTGTCCTTTCTTTATTTGCACTCAGGTGGCCTCATGTCTGCCTTCCCTGGGGACTGCTCCCTCCTGAGCACCTCATTCCCCAAAAATCCTGCCTTCAAACAGAAAGACAGCTGGGGTCCTTTCTCTCCTCTTGGGATTACTCAAAACAGAAATCTCCAAAGGAGGAATCCAGAGACTTGTATTCCAGTCCTAGGTTGAACTCTAGCAGTGGGATCTTGGGCAAATCCCTTCCACACCTATGAAATGAAGGGATTTATCAAAGCCAGTGGCTCCTAAACTAGGCAGGACATCAGAATGACCAGGAAGATATTTCCAAATACACCTGCTTGACCTCATCTCACACCTTCTGAGTCAGCCTCTCTCTAGAGAAAGTATGTTTGGAAAACATGCCCTGGGTAATTCTGATGCAGAACCAGGTTGGGGCCATTGATTCAAGAGATTTCCAAGGACATTCAGACTCTTTTCCTCATTCCCACCCATCCTGGCAGGTCCAGTGAGGACCCTGTGGTCCTAGTTTGAGGAGGATTTCCAAAGGCTGCTGAGCTCTGTCTTCAGTCCCTGACCTATGCTTCTCTTCTGCTCACAGTACGCTCCAGCTGGCAGTAACAACCCAAACTCCATCTCAATAAGCTTCCTGGTCATGGAAAACTCCAGACCCTGTCTCCCCAAAGAGCTAAGACTGGATGACGCAGGCCCACCCCTCTTTCCTAGCCAAAAGCCCCCACCCTTGTCTGGCCACAGAGGCCTTAAGGAGGTGCTCCTCCTCTAATCCCTGGAGCAGACAGAGATGAGGGAAGGTTAATTTCCATCTGTCACTGTCAGGCAGCTGGGACTGACTGTGACAGAATGGAGAGCCAGGAGACCAGGGACGGGGGGATGGATGACAGAGCAGGAAGCCCTGCCCCAGGCCAGGACCAGTGGGTGGCCCAGCCTGATCCCTGGCTCCTGCAAAGGACTTCAGAAGGCATCATATCCAATGCCTATGGAAGAACCACGACCCCTAGAGGAAACAGGGTTTGTTCAGGCCCTTTGGTCCCTGGGTCAGTGCCGTCCCAAGGCCACCCTGGCTGGACAAGACAGAGAGCCAAGCCTGCCCTGCAGAGGCTCTGGCCTTCATGTGCCTCACCATCCTTGCGGTAGTAGAGGATGTCCACCTTGCACTCCTCAGCCCCCAGCAGGGCCTCCGCCAGGCGGGACACAGCGCTGCTCGGTGTGTTGGGACCTGTGAGGAAGTCGCAGGTGCAGGGTTGCTGCATCACCTCCACTCGGGAGTAGCCGAAGAGTTCGCAGAAGCCGTCATTACAGTAAATGATAGCGCAGTTCTCCATCTGAGCATTGGCGATCAGGAACTTACGACCTAGGGTGGGAGGTGGGAGGTGGGAGGCCAAAAGTCCATGGGAGCCAGGATCCAGAGGCAGGGAAAGAAAGATTGTAAGGACTCTTGGTGGCAGTGAGGGGAATTTAGGCAGAAGAGCAGGGCAGTGACCGGAATGAGGGAGGGAGTCAGGCCTGGAGATTGGGAGAAGACTAGGGCAGTGAGGGTCATGAGGTGGAAGGAAGGCTCAAGGCCTCCTGGAAACAGGAAGGGTGTCTGGAAGGGAGGCAGGAATGTGACCAAATGGGGGTCCGGGCTGGGATAGCTCCTGGGAACACCAGAGCCAGGATATGAAAAGTAAGGACTCAAGGAATCCTCTGGAGGACGCGGGTGGGGGCGGGCAGTGGCTGCAATGGGAGGTTCAGGCTTGGGGCACTGAGGAAACAGCTGGGGGTGGGAGGGAAGGGCTGCACGCTGCTCCTTGTGTTCCAGAAAAGAGGATGGCATTTGAGGGGAGCGGGTCCCGCTGGAGGAGAAGGTGTTGGGGACATCAAAGGAAGGATTTTGCATTCAGCACCCCGCACTCACCACCTTGCCCGGTTAGAAGTTAGTGAAGGGGTCCGGTCCCGCTTTCACGGAACCAGGACTCCAGATCGTCCCCCCGCCCCAACATACACACACTCACTCTGGCCCTCGAACTTGCGGATGATGGTGTCCAGATAAGTGTTTTGGGGAGCTACGTGGCCCCTGCGGACTGGCATCTTTCGGCCGCGGCCCCTGCCCGGAGCCACAGGCGCCCCGGCTCCCGGCGTCTCCGCCTGTCCTCGGGCTCAGCAGCGTCCGGCTCTGGTGGGCGCCGCCCCCGGGGAGGGCCTCTGGGCTCCGCGCCCCGCCCGCCTGCCTGCCCGCCTGCCTGCGTCTACCCTCCCCTCCCCTCCCATCCCTACCCCTGCCCTACCTCTCCTCTTCTTTCCTGCGCTCCCCTGCCCTCTCCTCCCCTCCCTGGCCGGCGCCCTCCGCGCCTGCACCCTTCAGCGCCGGCCCGGGAGCTGTCCACGCCGTGGTGCTGAAAGAAGCCGCGCGCCGGCGTTGGGGCGGGGGCCGCTGGGCGGGGCAGTTTCTTTGGGACCCGACGGGGCTGGGGCGGGGCCTTGCATCCTACGGGGCGGGACGGGGCGGGGCAGGGCTGAGGCCCCGGAATAGGGCAGGTGCTCTCTGAGGAGCTGCTTCTGTTTGTGTCCCAAGGGCCAGTGGCCTCAGCACCTCTTGGATCCCATCCCAGTACCAAAGGGCAGTCTCCCCTCCCAGTGCAGGGAGTCCCCAGGCAGGAGAGGGGGCCACAAAAGGGATTGTTAGAGGCCTCAGGTGGTCTTTGGTTGAAGCCTCTCTTCCGGGTCTGACCATTGAGCCAGACCCTAGCAATGATACCATTAGGCCTCTGGCCTGCTCTTATAGCAAGTTACTTCCAGCTCAGCTGAGACCCAGGTCCCATGCAGAGCTCCTGCTGCCAAGCCCAGCCAGGACCTCGTCCTGGGAGGAGGGGGTAGGAGTACACATGAAGATGTGTAAGAAATATGCAATAAGGGCCAGGTGCAGTGGCTCACACCTGTAACCCCAGCACTTTGGGAGGCAGAGGCAGGCCGATCACCTGAGGTCAGGAGTTTGAGACCAGCCTGGCCAACATGGCAAAACCCTGTCTCTACTAAAAATACAAAAATTACCTGGTGTGGTGGCATGCAAGCCTGTAATCCTAGCTACTTGGGAGGCTAAGGTAGGGGAATTGCTTGAACTGACGAGGCAGAGGTTGCAGTTAGCCAAGATCACGCCACTGAACTCCAGCCTAGGCAACAGAGTGAGACTCTATTTCAAAAAAAAAAAAATAGGAAGAAGAAAGAAAGATGGATGGATGCAATAAGTGCCTTCTTCAGAGGCCTAAGAGCTCTTAGCATACAGGTACATCTTGGAAGGAGAACAGATTTAAAACCACCTCTTAGCAGGTGACCACTGATAAAAGTGTCTGAGTACTCATTGAAAATGAACACACTAGAAAAAGCAGATGGGGGTGGGATGAGGTTTATTGAAAGAGGCTTCCTGGAGAGGAAAAAGAGAAGGTGGCCACTGTTCACTGAGCATCTGGGTGGGCTTGTCATGCTGCAGAGGATTCGGTGAGCAATTTTGAGCCTGATCTTGGAGGGCAAACATTCAAATGGGGCATGCACCTTAGGCAAAGGTCAAAGATGATGTCAGTGCAGAGGGGCTGGGCGGGGGACAAGGGGGTGTGGGGACAAGGGGGTGTGGGAGAGGTGAGTTTTGAGGAAACTGGTAATGAATAAAGACCCTCAGATGCCATTTTGAACATCTAGACTTAATTGATGAGCAACCAAGTTCTTAAGGAATTAGACATGAAGGAAATATTCTGGTGATATAAACTTCACAATGGCAGATGGAGGAGGGAGGATAGACAAGGTGGCTCAGTGAGGTTTTTGCTGGAGTCCAGGTGAGAGGCTTGGAGTCCTGGGTGGGATGTGCCTTTGTCATGCAGAGCCACGGTGACTAATGGGGGCCTCTTTGGCCACTGTGGCTAGGGGATGGAAGTGGGCAGAGATGTCCTGACTGCCCCTTTGTTGGACAGGTTGGCTGTGGAGGAAAAAAAGGGGCTATTTCCCATGAGCTCAGTGCATGGGGTGCTGAGCTCCGAGGAGGGACTTGGGCAGTGGGACATTCATTCATTAGCTTATTCCATCATTTTCCAAGTTCCCGTTGTACACCATGGACTGTGCTGACTAGAGTTGTTACACAGGGGTACACCCTTATGTGCATCCAGCTCTTATAGAGCTGATAGCTAGTAATAGGGACAAATAAGGACATTATAGCATAGAAAAGTAAGAGCAGGGACAGAGTCATCAAACGAGTGTGTTGCAGAGCCTGGGGCTGGAACAAGTGCTTGGGCTCAGCCAGATCTCAGGAAGACCTCTTGAAACCTGGACAGAGGTAGAGTCCATGGAGATCTCAGCCTAGTATCTCTGTCCCCTGAACACATGACTTCAGGGCTCAGACTTTTTTTTTTTTTGAAACAGAGTCACACTTTGTCACCCAGCCTAGAGTGCAGTGGCGCGATCTCGGCTCACTGCAACCTCTGCCTCCTGGGTTCAAGAAAATCTGCCTCAGCCTCCTGCATAGCTGGGATTATAGCATGCATCACCATGCCCAGCTAATTTTTGTGATTTTAGTAGAGACAGGGTTTCACCATGTTGGCCAGGCTGGTCTTGAACTCCTGACCTTGTGATCTGCCTGCCTCAGCCTCCCAAAATGCTGGGATTACAGGTATGAGCCACTGCACCCAGCCTGGGGCTCATATTCTTAATTCAGAGAGAGCCATCATCCTCTTTTGGCCACCCTCCCACCAGCTCAGTTGCAGCCCAGGTACCCCTTCTCTGTAGTTACTGACTATAATGCCTTTTCTCCTCAAGTCTCCTCTATTCTTACAGACACTGACTCCCTGCTTCCCCAGGAGCCCATGAAACCTCCATCCAGACTCTTTGAATCCCCAAATATTGGATGTAGCATCCTCGTGGCAGGCAGTCCCAGAATGAACTAGGAGAGGCAGAGGCAGAGGCCTTCTTGTTCTTTCCCCAGGCTTGTTTCTAGAGCACTAATTTCCCAAATAGTCTCCTACAGTTCTCTCCTTCCTGTCCTTCCCATCCCCCATTGAGCCTGAAAAGGTGCTGTTTGCTCTGTGCTTGCTCCCCAGGGCAACGGGCCAGGCAGCAGGTGTGTGTGTGTTGAACAAGGCCATCTCCAGAGCAGAGTGGCTGGAGATGAGCTTTGTTTAAATATTAAAGAAGCCAATCATTAATCAAGCCTGGCTCAGTGCCCAGCAACCCACTGTCTCCATTTGAAAGGGCTTGGGCTGGGGCAGGGAGAGCCGTGGGGCAGTTTGTGAGGCTACTTGCATCTTGACTGGTCAACAAAGAGCTTTTGGGGGCTAGATTATGTTGCTGGCCTGAGGATCAGCGGAAAGATGTGCTGGTCAGTGTAAAAGCACAGTGCCCATAAACTGGGCACTGGTGATTCATAAAGGAATGTCCTGTTCTACTTGAGTACATTTTATAAGTGGGCTGAAGCAGAGTCCTTTTTCTAACCAGAGCAGAGACTCCTTGGGCACTGCAGCCCTGTAGCCAGGCTACTGAAGAAAACAAGGCTGTGTGCAGAACCAGTTCTGGGCATGACTTGGTGGCAGGCTGGTTTATAGGGACACAGCCACTGGGTCAATAAAATTATAGGTCCTGAGCCCCCTGGGGAAGGAGGTTTGCCTGAAACCCAGGACACACATAAAATCACATAGAGCCAGTTGTTTGTGCACATGGCCTCCCATACATGAGTTTTCAAACACTCAATTACAATGTCACATGTACCCAGATCTGCCATGGCTGAACCCAATTATAATTGGGCAATATGCATGCAGGCTGTCCCCTCATGTGCCTCCCAATTCTCTCTGGCTCAGCCTCCCTTCTCCTGCCCCTCAGCCTCACCAGTCTCACTGGTGTCTAGTCCCAGCTCCACCATTCAGCTCTTATCCATGGAGGCTGCCTGCTGTGCTGTGAAAATCCAGATGGCCAGGCTGATTGAGCACAGCATCAGAACAAGGCAGAGGCCCAGCAGCATCCACTGTCTTTTAGCAGCCTGGCAGGGCTCCATGGCTATGCCCAGGAAGTAGGCGTTGGGCAGTGGGCTGAAGATCTCAGTGTCTTGGACCAGTGACTGTTTTTCCAGGAAATGCAGCCTGTAGGCCAGCCACAGCACCACCAGGGACATGACAAAGCTCAGGACCAGCACCCAGTACCCAAATTAGCCTTGTTGGTGTCCAGCTTCAGACTCAAAAATGTCACTTTTTCTGTGTTTTTTTTTCTGTGGAAGACATGGGAGTCTCATAGGGTAGGTGGAACTGGAGAGGGAGCTCTGGGGTCCCCTGTGGCTGTCAGAGGAGATGTGATTGCCACTGGCCCTCTCCCTCAGCCTCAGGCACCTACCTTCCAAGCCATAAGTGAGGGCATGGCCCTTGAAGGTGGGTGAGAGAGAAAAGTAGAAGGGAGAGGAGGAGGAGATGGGCACGGCTTGGACTACATGACCCTGCATGTAAGGGACCAGAGGCAAGATGCTGACCCTTTGCTCAGATGCCAGCCTGGCAGCCTAGCTGGACAGTGTGCAAGGAAGCAACTGAGCCAGGGGTGGGGGTATGGGCAGTGGTCTTGGCCGAAGCTACATCAGGTCTGGTACAGACAGGGTCACACAGCAGCAGTGCTGTGCTGGTTCAATCCAGGTCATGAATGAGCCAGAGGTTAAGGCTGGGTGGGGATAGGTGGTAGGACAGGGGAGGTTAAAGCGGGGCCTGGGGCTAGCCCGGAGCTGGGACCAGGGTAAGATGATGAAATCTTCAAAGGAACAGCTGAAGTCTGGCCAGCCTAGGATGTCCCCTTGCTGTACATTCTCAGTCACCAGCCAGTTCAGTAGGGGTTTGAAATAGGTTATGAAGGCCTTTGTAGACACCTTGGACTCCCCAGTCAGCATCTCTAGGACCTCTGGCCAGGGCTTGCTTGAGCCCAGCTTTAGATTATCCCTGGGGGAGTGAGTGCAGCTGTGAGGCTGTGTGGGGGCATCAGTTGGTGCTGCTGAGACCCCCAGTGCACCCAATCCTGGCCCCAGTGCTTGGCCAGTCAGAATTTTCCCACAGAGCTTGGCATAGTAGATACGATCACAAGTTTGAAAGAAGACTAATCTGGGTTTGAATTTCAGCTCTGTCATTTAGTAGCTGTGGGGTCTTGGGCAATAACCTTTCTGAGCCTCAGTTTCCATCACCATGAAATGGAGATGATAATGGTATCTGCTTTGAAGGGCCTTGTGATGATTAAATAAGCATGGTGCTGGGTACATTGCATGCAGGCAATCCATGTTAACTACTGATGATGATGGTGATTACTTGTAGTACTGGCACTACTGTGATTATAATTATTCTCCTGGACTCAAATAGGCATAAAGTCCTGAGACACTGCTTCCTGTGAGGTGCTCAGTGTCGGTAGATAGTGGCAGCTCTTCACTCCTTTCTGGTCTCAGAGGGTTTGGGAGGATTAGAAACATCGTGAGTGTGGGAGGTGCTCCAACACCACCTGCAGTGCTGCACAAATGTCAGCTGTGTCTCACGGCTCAGCCAGTCCTTGGATGCAGGTGGTTGAGCTTTATGCTAGCCCCCCTGCACTCATAATGGGAGTATGAAGTGTGCTGAAGCCAGAGCCCCAGGCTTCTCCGCTTCAGAGCCCCCTGCTGAGGCAGTGGTGGGAAGATGTCGATCCTTCTCAACTTGTTGTTCCTTGATCCAATCAGGAGAGACATGGGACCAAGAGGCCAGAGGTCATGATTTGGGGACTAGACTAACAGGGCTACCAGGCTTAAACCTGACCTCACAGTGCTATTTATGGACAACATAACCTTACACAGACAACTTACCCTCTCTCAGCCTTGGTTTCCTCATCAGTAAAATGGGCACCATGAATACCTGCCTTTCATCATGTTGAGGACTAAGTCACACAATGATGAAGGAGGGTTTGCAGCTTGCAAAGGCTTATGCACATCATTTAATAAACAACTGAGAAAGAATGAGATGGGAAAACTAGTCAGTGGGGCCATGGCAGAAACCATTGGAGAAGAAAACCACAACTAACTCTAGGTAAGAGGTCCTGATGCCGGCTTCTGGGTAAGAGGAAGAATCTAGTAGGGGAAAAGCTTCAACCACTGAGAATCTACCCATTTAAAAACAGTCCTTCAGGCTGGGCGAGACAAGATGTTTGACCAGAGGCTAGCCAACAGCCCATGTGGACAGGACATGAGACCAGAGAGCAGCAGAGGTGTTGACTGGATGCTGCCTGGAGCTGTCAACTCCAAAGTGGCAACAACACACCCCATGGACAAGGCCAGGTCCACCACGGCTGGTGGGGTGAGGCTGGGGGACTTTGAGAACTTCAGCCAGGTCCAATTCAACCCTCCATTCCCAACAGAACCAGCCCAGAGCCTGGCTCAGGGCCGTCACATTTAGGAGGAAGAATTAAAAGTAGAAAAACCAAGTTTTAAGATAAATTAGGCAAAAGAGCAGCCAAGAATCTTTCTCTTTTCCCCCTGCAAGCACTCGCATCCCCTCTCCCCTCCACAAATCATATTCTGCTCTGCTGCTCTTTCATCATCTGCAAAGGTCATGACATCCTCCTTACTCAGAAACCTCTCCTCTGCCCATTGCTCAGAAAATGGTATGTGAGGTTCTAAGCCTGGAATTCAGGGTTTTCCCTGACTAGATGTCTGGCCAGCGACACGCAGGACTGGTGAGCAATGTTGAGAGATGACTCAATGGCCATATACTTTGGTGCCATGTCAGACCCTGAGAGCCCTGTGTACCTTGAGGGCAGTGAGGGTGGAAAGTGGTGAAAATGACTGAGGTCAAACATCCTACCAATCAGGTGGGCTGAAAGAGATGAGTTGATGTAAACAAAACATACATCTTGGCTGGGCGTGGTGGCTTACACCTGTAATCCCAGCACTTTGGGAGGCTGAGGTGGGCAGATCCCTTGAGGCCAGACGTTTGAGACCAGCCTGGCCAACATGGTGAAACTCTGTCTCTATTAAAAATACAAAAATCTGCCAGGTGTGGTGGTGTGTGCCTGTAATCCTGCCTACTTTGGAGGTTGAGGCACGAGAATCATTTGGAACTAGGAGGTGGAGGTTGTAGTGAGTCAAGATTATACCACTGCACTCCAGCCTGGGTGACAGAGTAAGACTCTGTCTTAAAAAAAGAAAGAAAAGAAAACAGATATCTGCTCTTTCCTCCTCCTCCTCCTCCTTCCTCTTCCTCTTCTTCTGCTTTTTCTTCTTCTTGTTCTTGTTCTTCTTCCTCCTCCTCCCACCTCAGCCTCCTGAGTAGTTGGGACTACAGGTGCGTGCCATCATGCCTGGCTACATTTTGTTTATTTTTTTTGTAGATAGGGTCTAACCATGTTGCCCAGGCTGGTCTCAAAATGCTGGGTTCAATGGATCCTCCCATCTTGGCCTTCTAAAGTTTTGGGATTATAGGTGTGAGCCACTGTGCCTGGCTTTCTGCTATTTCTTGCACACTTGCGTTTGGGGACAGAACTCCCTCCTTGGTTCCCCGGCATAACCTCCTAACCCTCTTTTTATGTTCACCAAAGCCCTTTTCCATTGCCTGGTATTATTAAATTTATTTATCCTATGGTTCATTTCCCCCTGTTGGATGCAGAGCAGCTGGTCTGCAAGGGGACAAGTAAATGTTTGCTGAATGAATAAGCGACAGGCAGCCAGAGATATTAATGCAAAGAGCAGAGAGGTGCCCTTACGTTCAACACATTCAGAAAAGCTCAAAGCTGGGCAGTCAGCTAGAGTAAAGCCCCGCAATGTGAAATGATGGGAGAGCAAATCTGTGAGGGAGACAACAGTCATGCAAGGTGCATCCCTCCCTAGGAGCAAAGCCCAGGGGATCAGTCCTGAAACCCCATCTGGCCTGGTGGTTACAGATAAACTGCATGGTGGAATAAAAAAATATGCTTATTAAATTTGCAAAGGATACTAAATTTGTGGCAATGTTAATCCTCTAGGAGAGAGGAATAAAGCTCAAGATGACCTTGACCAATTAGGGAAATGGACCTACTGAAATCTGTTGAAATTCAACAGGAAAATGATCAAGTCCGTTGGTGAGCTCCACATCACCAAGGTTGGAGTGCTGATCTTCGAACCAGTTAGATCTCCTCTCACCAGGGACTGTATTCTTTGACTGATGGAGGCCAAAAGGGTGAAAGATAACGTGTTCTGAAGTCAGTTCTGGGTTCAAAGCATGACTTTGCTTCCTGCTAGATAAATGACATAAAATGACACCACCTCTCTTGCCTTTGGTTTCATCATTTTTAAAACGCAAATAACAATGTCCCCTTTGCAGAGTTAAGAGCTGTTACTATAATATGAAACGCTGTGAGTCCTCATCAGAGAACGCCCCCTGTAGTAGTAAATGCTTCACATTTTCAGTTCAGTCCTCTACTCCCTCCGGCTTTGCTCCAGGACTAAAATCCACTGCCACGTAGGTAGGCATGGAAAGAATAAGCTAAACACCAAGTGCTTAGAAAAAGACTGAAGGGTCACAGTGGACCACAGGCTGCCAAGAGGCCAGCGCAAAAGCAACCTGCATCAGCCTGGGAACTGGATTTGGACATCTCCAAGAAGAGGTGGGAGAAACAGACTGCACCCAAGGGTGTGTCAAATGCTGCTGAGAGGGTAGGTCAGCACCTTGCAAGGAAAGGATAAGGGGGTTCAGATGTAAGGCTGAAGGCTGAGGTAGAACCCTAGTGCTGGCTTCCTATCTGGGACAGTTTGGTTTACTGGCATATGTGTGTGTGTGTGTGTGTGTGTGTGCGTGCGCACGTGCGTGCACATGTTAGTGTGAGGTGCTAAACAGTGTCTATTTTTTTTTGAGACAGTCTCCCTCCGTTGTCCAGGCTGGAGTGCAGTGCTGCAATCTCAGCTCACTGCTCCACCTCCCAGGTTCAAGCAATTCTCTGCTTCAGCCTCCTGAGTAGCTGGGATTACAGGCACCCGCCACCACACCTGGCTATTTTTTTTTTTTTAATTTTTAGTAGAGATGGGGTTTCACCATCTTGGCCAGGCTGATCTTGAACTCCTGACCTTGTGATCCACCCACCTTGGCCTTCCAAAGTACTGGGATTACAGCCACTGCACTGGCTTTTTTTTTTTTTGAGATGGTGTTTCATTCTTGTTGCCCAGGATGGAGTGCAATGGTGCAGTTTTGGCTCACTGCAAACTCCACCTCCCAGGTTCAAGCAATTCTCCTCCCCTCAGCCTCCCAAATAGCTGGGATTACAGGCACCCACCACCACACCCGGATAATTTTTGTATTTTTGGTAGAGATGGGGTTTCACCATGTTGGCCAGGCTGGTCTCGAACTCCTGACCTCAGGTGATCCACCCGCCTTGGCCTCCCAGAGTGCTGGGATTACAGGTGTGAGCCACTGCACCCAGCCTAAACACCGTCTCTGAACACAGAAGGCTACACAAGAGGAAATGGGCTCTGCTTAATGTAGGAAAGACTGCAGTCTGACATGATGAAGAACTTCTGCTAGAATATAAGCTTAATGAAGCTCTGCTCAAGATGTCAAGGGTAGTCAGGTAAGGAGAGGGAGCTGGAGCAGGGCTTCGCAAAAGGGAGATGGGGGAGCCAAGAACAAATGAAGGAAGAGGGCACTCATCCCAGGAGCTTCCTGGCAATCTTGGAGTTGTAGATGTCACACTGGTGCGGTGGACCCATGTGGCCCGAGGCTTTGCACAGCGCTTCGTGGAAGAAGCATGTAAGGGACCAGAGGCTAGACCCTGGAAGTAACCTCGCTAGATAGAGGAAGTAACTGGGTAGAAAAACATGAAGGCAGGCTGGGGAGTGGAGACCAGGAGAGGGAACTCAGAGCCACTTGGGACCAGGCAGCACTGACATGCAAAGGCCATGAGGGCCCCATGTCAGCAGTCACTGCCTGGGCAGAGGCTCCTTGGGCAGGGCCCAGCCTTGGGCTGACCCTAGAGTTCTGGTGTGGGGGGGTTCTCCTTCTCCAGCTTTCTGAACCAGTAGTCACCCCAACCCTTGACTCCCTCTGACTTGCTCTCCCCTAAGAGACAGCAGGGATGGTCTAGAATATTCCCATCAGCTCTGCCCTGGCACTGTACCTGATATAAAAGCTAAAAGGATTCTAGGTCGGAGGCCTTAGAAGGCTGTGCAACCCAACAGGAAGAGATGGGCAGGGGTGCAGGCTGACATTTGGACATAGGGCCTTCCTGCAAATCCCTGGCCCAGTTCCCATGCCCTTCAGCTCTTAGGACTGGTGCTGCCAACACCTTTACCGTATGTAGGGCACACTGGCAGAAATGTGGAACTTGGCACTTGGATCAAAGTCTTCCTCTGAGAGAGGAACAGGGGGGCACAAGCCCTGGCATTTCAGCCTGGCAGGGAAAAAACAGAGGGCTTGGTGGTGGTGCCTGGCAGCTTTTCAGAGCCTTTTTCTTTTCTTTCTTTTTTTTTTTTTTTTTTTTTTTTTTATACAGAGTCTTGCTTTGTCTTCCAGGGTGAAGTTCAGTGGCACGATCTTGGCTCACTGCAACCTCTGCCTCCTGGGTTTAAGTGATTGTCTTGTCTCAGCCTCCCAAGTAGCTGGGATTACAGATGTGAGCTACCACACCTGGCCTGGCTTTTTCTTTTCAAAGCACCTGCATGTCTACAAAACTGGACTTAGCAGGCAGAGGATACCTAATGCATTTTTATTGATTAAATTAATGAAAACACGTGGGATTGGGAATCAGAGTAAAACAATAGCAGTTAACACTGAGCACTTCCTCTACTCAGAACCATGCCTGGCTCAACACTGTCCTGGTTTCTGGGGGTGGAATCAGTAAGGGAGCACGGGAGGCAAGGGCCCTGCTTGCATCCTAACCATGGGGGACAGATTATAGACCAATAAATAAGGTCATTTCATCTAGTAAGAAGTGCTGAGAAGAAAACAGAGTAATATCCCTGCGGGGCAATACTACTGTTATTTCCATTTTGCAGATGAGGAAACCAAGGTTTGGAGATCAGGGAACTGGCTGCAGGACACAGAGCTAGTCAGTCACACCCTGATAAGCTGAAGGTCTGCTTTTGCCCTTCTGAGCTGTGCGACTGTGGGAAAGTTGCTGATCCTATCTGAGGCTTGTTGTATTATGTCTATAAAATGGAAGGAAGTAGGGCAGGTGTGGTGGCTCACACCTGTAATCCCTTCCAGCACTTTGGGAGGCTGAGGTGGGAGGATTGCTTGAGCCCTGGAGTCCAAGACCAGCCTGGGCAACAAAGTGAGACCCTTTCCCTACAAAAAATGCAAAAATGAGCCAGGTATGCTGGTGCACATGTGTAGTCCCAGCTACTCGGGTGCTGAGGTGGGAGTATCACTTGAGCCTGGGAGGTCAGGGCTGCAGTGAGCCAGGATTGCACCACTGCACTCCAGCCTGGGCAACAGAGTGAGACCCTGTCTCAAAAATAACGCTTCGTCATTGGCTACTGGAGCCGCTGAACCATCTCCAAGCTTAACAGAGTGTCAGGAGCTTCCCTCCGGTTGACAAGGCCCTATTTAAGGCCCAAGGAGTCACCACTCCTCCTCCTTAGCCCCTGGGTCCCATCAGGGGCTGACAGAGGCCTTCTGCAGGTGCCTGAGATGGCCTGCGAGGGTGACCTTAGAGAGACACAAGGTTAAGACTCTGCTGAGCCCACCAGGGAGACCTGCTCCTGAAGTCAAGGGTGGGAGTGAGAGGACAAGGGGAGGAGCTCCCAGCTCTGCCACCTGCTGGTTTGCTGTGTGACCTTGGACTGTTGTGTGTGACCTCTGTGAGCTTCAACTGCTGCTTCTGTGAGCTGAGTGTTTTCAAATGATCACAGTGTAAGGTGGTTGTAAATGTTTAAATTAAATATAAGAGGCCGGGCACAGCGGTTCATGCCTATAATCCCAGCACTTTGGGAGGCCTAGGCAGACAGATCGCATGAACCCAGGAGTTTAAACCTGGGCAACATGGCAAACCCCATCTCTACAAAAAAACTTACGAAAAACTAGCCAGGTGGGGTGGTGCACACCTGTAGTCCCAGCTACTCAGGAGGCTGAGGTGGGAGGATTGATTGAACCTGGGAGGTCAGAGCTGCAGTGAGTTGTGATCGTGCCACTGCACTCCAGCCTGAGGGGCACAGTGAAGCCCTGTCTCAAAAGACAAATAAAAAAGGTAAGAGCCTGTTGCAAAGCCAGCAGCGCCCCCCAGCAACCCCAAATCACACTACAACCAGCAGACTGAAGCTGGTCAGTCCGAGGCCTGGCGGACATGGAGAAGCCCTGGTCACAGGTATTTACTATCCCATCAAATGGCCAGGGGTCAGTGATGAGGTGTAACCCAAGGTCCCTCACTCAAGGGTGATGCTGCCCAACTGCTGATGGGTTCCCATGGCCACTTGGGGATGCTAAGCCCGAGGCAGGCATGTGTGCACGTTAGGGGCCTGGCTCTCTCCCACGGGGATTCTTTCCCCAGAAAGGAAAGTGCTCAGGCCCCTGCATGCCCCACTGCCTGGCACCAGGGAGGGAGGGAGGTGTGGTAGGGCCTGGCTGGTGGTCAGTGTTCTGTGATTGGAGAAGCCCAGTTGCAACCATTGTGTGAGCTTCCCAGCCACCCAGGGAGCAGGTGGGGCCACAGGCCTCACAGATGAGGATACTAAAGCCTAGAGAGGATAGGAGACCTGGTCAGTGCCTACGTTGAAGATTACAGCCCATCTGGTGGAAGATGATGCCCAACCCACCTGAGGTTCCACCACTCCTGGTTGTAGACGTCCTTCCAGATGGTGCCATCAAAGACCTTCCAGCGAAACAGGTCCATCAGGTAGCTGAAGGAGATGAAGGCAATCTTCTCCAGGGAAATTCTCATCAGGAAATTGATCTCATCCTCTGGGAAGAGGGTGAGGGCAGTTAGGAGGTGACCCCTGGGCTCTCCTTCCCATGGCTTTCCCGGAGAGCCCTGACCCCACCCAGCTCTAGCTGCTACTCCAGGCTTGGGCTGCCCTCCTGCCGGGCCCTTAATACTCACCACCTGAATCCTGGTGCTCGAGGCTGAGCAGGTCTTGGTTGAGCAGATAGTTTTGGAGGAGGCCGAGAGGGTGATCACAGACCCTACAGCCTCTTCAAAAGCTGGGTTGGCGCCTGCACAGAAGATGATGGAGAGGTTCTTGTACTGCAGGAAGTACTGGATGTGACCCATCTCGTGGAATGTGGAGAGCAGGTCTTCTATGGTCACTTCCATGCACCGCTTTATCCTACGTGCAAAGGGCATGGATCAAGGAGTATGGAGAATTCCCCATTCAGAGTCCTTGAGGGATTGGGTGGTGAGGCTGGAGCCCAGATGGCCAGATGGGCCTTGGCAGTCGTTCTTCTTTTTTTTTGGGGGGGGGGAGACAGAGTCTTGCTCTGTCACCCAGGCTGGAGTGCAGCAGTGGCACAATCTCTGCTTGCTGCAGCCTCCACCTCCCATGTTCCAGTGATTCTCCTGCCTCAGCCTCCTGGGTAGCTGGGATTACAGGCACATGCCACCATGTCCAGCTAATTTTTGTATTTTTAGTAGAGAGGGTTTTACCATGTTGGCCAGGCTGCTCTTGAACTCCTGACCTCACATGATCTGCCCATCTTGGCCTCCCAAAGTGCTAGGATTACAGGTGTGAGCCACACACCTGGCTGGCAGTTGTGCTTTCTCACTCCAGGCCCCATATCCAACCAGCAACCAAGCCCTTTGCTCTCATGCCACCTTTCCTTCTGTGTTTCTCGCTTGCGTTCCCCGTCCTCTGCCCTAGCTCTCTCCTGCCCAGACTCCTAAGACAGGCAGACAAGGGAGGGGAGAGGTCCGGGCGTGTGGTGCCACTGTGAGCACCTGAAGTCATTGTCGTGGCAGAAGTTCCAGGCGGAGGCGTGACACTCCACCTCTCGCCCATCGGTTGGCCTCGTCAGCATTGACTTTTTCCAGAAACTGGGTGGGGCAGGCAGCAGCCCCAAGGAGGTGAAGAATTTCTCAGCCTCTCCAAACATTGTCTTTGGCTTCCAGTGCTGAGGGAGAAGAGGGGGTGTGTGGGGTGCTGCGCTGTTTGCCCAAGGATGTTGAGAGGGAAGGACAGGGACAGACAGGCCAAGCACTAACCTGGCCTTTCATGATCTTTGTGACATCCTTGGGGGTCTTCTTCGGAAAGGGCAGGACCAAGTCTAAGATGTTGTCCCAGGACTGAGCCCACATGTTCCCTGGAAGAAGCGGAGAGCGGCTAAGAGGAGGCTGGGGACAGTTTCTGCCCTTATAGGTCCTCACCTCAGCCACCAACAGGGCTTTTACCCAGGAGGTGGGCAGGGATGGGCCCCCTTAGGGGGATGAGCTTGGGCTGGTAGTGGCGGTGCAGGGCCCGGCGCACGTAGGCATGCAGGTTCAGGTAGAGCGGCCACAGCTCCTGGAAGAGCTGCTCCAGGTCTTGCTCCAGGGTGTCCGACTCATACTTGGAGCGCCACAGGGCCCCCATGTCTTTGTAACCTGGGACAGGAGAGAGGACTTGCTAGGAGCTCACTGTATCAAACTTTAGCCCTGGCCTAGCTGGCAGGAGACCCAGACACCTTCTAGGGAAGCCACTCAACCTTGCTGACCCTCTGGGTCTTCTTTGGCAAAACGGGGAGAATGCCTGTCCATTTCAGAAAGGCACTGAGCAAAGTCCATGATCCGAGCTCCCCACCATGCCTGCAAGGCCCTGTGGTCCCTCTCACCCCACCTCATCCTTCGCGCTGTGGCCACCTGGGCTTCTATGGGATCTTCCAGAGCACTGGCTCCTCCCGCATGAAGCCTCTGCCTAGGATGCTCTTCTTTCACATCTTGCTCCCTAACTTTTCCTCATCTTTCAGGTCTTGGATAAATGTCAGAGGCCTTCCCTGACCCCTTGTCTGCAGCAGCCTCTTCTCATTCTCTCTCTCAGCGGCCCCTTCCTATTCCACATCACCCCAGGTGGTTTTACTGAATATGACGATCTCCCCGCAGGACAATAGGCGCATGACGGCAGGTGCCTGTCTTTTTACCTGTGTGTCCTCAGAAGCTCCCAGCACCCAGCACATAGGTGCTCTACGAATATTTGGAGAGCTCAGCTGCAGGGCTCATGGGTCCTGTCTCCAGGGCCCTACGGCCAACTTTGCCCCTTCCTTGGCATCATTCTGAGCCCCGTGGTGTCCCGTCTGCTCACCACTGAGCTGCACGTAGTGTTCAAAGGTGGTGCGGATCTGGCGGCCCACGGCATCCCGCCAGCCCTGCCAGGCCCACAGCAGCCCCTTCTCATCCCTGGAGGTGGCCATGACTTCTTCGAGTTCTATGCCCGGAAAAGGAGCCATGGGGGACCCACTCCCACCCACCTCTGCCCTCACCCTACCCACAACAAGGGAGCGTGGTTGGGGGCTGGGAGGGGCCCCTGGAAGGGACTGAGTGCTGGAGATTCTGTGGTTGGGTAGAGCAGGGCTGGGGTGCTCACCAGGCTCCAGGGACAGGCAGGGCCCCTCGTTCAGGCACACCTGGGCCATACTGTACGTTGTCTCCATGTAGGCCAGAAGCTCACCATTCTGGGAGGGCAGGTGTTACCCAGGGCAGGCCCGTGCCCCTGGGCCCACCCCCAGTGCTTGCCCCACCAGCCAGGAGAGATCAGCACTCCCACCTCTACTCCTCTCCTTCTCCAGAGGAAGTTCTGATCCGGTCCCCTCCTCCACTCCACTGCCTCCCTCCTGCCCCAGACACTCTGGCTCCCCCAGCAGACCCCTGGGGCCAGGGAGCATGTGCCTAAAGATCTAGGGGCCCTGTCCATCACCTCCTGCAGTTCATCCTTGGGCAGAGCTGCCTTTTCTATGTTCTGTAGCTTACTCAGCATGCACTTCACGTCTGGGTCCTGGAACTGGGTGACCTTAAACAGGCGGGCCCAGGTGCCAAAATAAATCATGAACTGGGACCTCTCCATGTCCTTGTGCAGCTGCAAAGAGGGCCAGCAAGGTTGGGGGATGGGGGAAGGGTTCCACTTGACTTTCAGGGCTGTGGCATCCCAACTGACTCCCTAAGGGAGCAAGATTTGCTAAGAGGGAGAGGGAGGAAGCCTGGGTCCCTAAAAGCAAGGAGGTGAGATTTACAAAGGACAAGAAGCAAGAGATTCTTGCCAGGAGATAGTTTAGGCCTTCCAAGAGGCCCAGAGCTTGCAGCCTGCTTTGACATGTACTCTGGGGCTTCCCTTATTCCTCTAGCTCGGGATGGGGCCAGGAGGTGTGGTGCCTATGCCCCCAAGATCCCTGAAAAGAGCAAAGCGAGGAGAGGCTGGGGTGGAGGTGGTACCACACCATCTCCTCCTGATTTTTCTGGTTGATGTTGGTGACATAGTTCTAAGTGGCCTCCATGAACTGGTTCAACACAACTTTGGCTGTTTGGTCACACAACTGCAGGAACATCTTGGCCTCAGTCTCATTGTAGAAGTCATCTGCAGGGAAGGATATGGGCATCATGTGCTGGGAAGGTCCTGTCTCTACCCAGTCCCCTTGTCTGGTCCCATGCTTCTTGGGATCCCAGTCACACCTAAGCTATAAGCACTCTTGATCCTGAGCCGAGGCAAGATCTGCCCGTAACAGAGGAGCATAAGTAGGGAAGGTCCAGGACGAGCCCATCTTGCTCCCATGACCAAGAGAACAGCAGAGCTGGGTGAGGCTATGGGCCAGTCACAAGCTAGCTCCATATTGGAGCTAAAAGCAAGGAGTCTCCTCAGGGCCCAGAGGCTCAGCCACATAATGTTAGAACTGGAAAGCCCCATCTACCTCCTGGTCCAACTCTCCCCATTTTACAGATGGGGAGACTGAGGTCCAGAAGGTCAAGCCAAATGACTTGGTTCATGTAGTTAGTTAATGGCGGAGCCAAAAGGAGGAACCAGGAGTCTTGACTTTTAGGCCAGAACTCATTCTGCTCTCCTCAGTCACTTTTCCCTGGGGCTGGAGCCACCCTTGGGTTATGGCCAGGGATTGATGAGGCCCTCCCTCCACAGGCTGGGACCACTTCTGAGAAGGTGGATGGGATGACGGATGGATAGATGGAGGTGATATCTCTGGGTCTTTGGAAGCCAGGTTGTCTCTCCGGGTTCTTCTAACCTGACCTCTTTCGTTCAAGTTTGGTCTTTTTCTCTCTTACAGGCTGTGTGATCATCCCCAGGGCTGTTCAGAGCCCTCCCCATCACACCTGTTTCTCCACGGAGAGCCTGATGTTATGAGTTTGCAATCAGGCGAGGGCACACGAGGCAGGGACTGGGTGGGGTATGGAGAGGTGAGGCTGGCACCTTCCATCCAGGGTGCATGAGTACCTGAGCCTAGTCTGAAAACCAGCTGGAAAGATACCAGCTCTCTGTAGGCCCGTGGCGACCCCAGTACTCTGACACTGAGGTCTGTGGAGGCCAGCTCCATCTGTCGCACCTTGGGTTGCTCCTTAGACTCACTTCCCTCCACATGCGGAATCCCTGAACGCTGTGTTGCCTTCAGTTACTCTCAGCCTACGGCTGCTCACATCTTCACAAAGGCCCTACCTCTACACATGGGCTGATACCACGATTAGAGAAAATGATCAAATAACTCACAAAATATGATTCATTATGGGTAAAATATATTTGTAACCTGAAGAAAGAAAAAATTAGTGACACTTCTAATTAAGCTGATTGACTGAGCTCACAGGGAAGTCTCCCTTCCTGCTCCAAGCATATAAATATGTATTAGTCCATTCTGACATTGCTGTGAAGAACTACCTGAGACTGGGTAATTTATAAAGAAAAGAGGTTTAATTGGCTCTACAGTTCCACAGGCTGTACAGGAAGCAAGGCTGGGGAGGCCTCAGGAAGCTTACAATCATGGTGGAAGGTGAATGGGGAAGCAGGCATGTCTTCCCTTGGCGGCAGGAAAGAGAGAGAAGGCGGTGGTGATACACACTTGTAAACAACCAGATCTGCCAGGCACAGTGGCTCATGCCTGTAATCCCAGCACTTTGGGAGGCTGAGGCGGGCGGATCATGAGGTCAGAAGATTGAGACCATCCTGGTCAGAAGATTGAGACCAACGTGGTGAAACCCCATCTCTACCAAAAATACAAAAAAAAAAAAAAGCCAGGCATGATGGCGGGAATCTGTAGTCCCAGCTACTTGGGAGGCTGAGGCAGGAGAATCACTTGAACTTAGGAGGTGGAGGTTGCAGTGAGCCAAGATTGCTCCACTGCACTCCAGCCTGGGCGACAGAGTGAGACCTCATCTCAAAAAAAAAAAAAAACCAAAACAAAACAACAAGAACAAAAACAAAACAAAACAAAACAAAAAACAACAAAGCAGATCTTGAGAACTAACTCACTGCCAGGAGAACAGCAAAGGGGAAGTCTGCCTCCATGATTCAACATGCCCACCTCTCCTCCAACACTGGAGATGCCAGAGGGCATTCATCCAGAGAGCTGCAGCATTGGTGTGGCTGGACAGCTGATCCCAATGGAAATGAGGTCTCTGCCAAGCTGGGAGCTCCTGCAAGCATCAGGTGTGTGTATGGGATTGCGCAGAATGCTGTTCCAACTGAAGATGGCTGATGGGTCCAGTTTACTGAGTTTAAGAGAAAACCCAGTTATAGGAGGCACAATAATAATTACCAACTCTCACTGAGCACTTTCCAGGGGCTATAGGGACCATGTGGGGGGCTTTCAGCATATGAATCCTCACAACAAACCCATGAGGCAAATGCTGTGATCAACAGTTCCAGTTTACAGATAAGGAAACAGAGGCACAGAAAGTTTGAGGAATTTGCTCATAGTCACACAGCCAGCAAATGGTGAAGAGGGGCTCAAATTCATATGGCTGGTTCCAGAGCTTGTGCTAAATTGCGGACACAATGAATGAAGCAGGCCGCAATGGAGGAAGGACAAGTCTCAGAGCAAGCAGAAAGGGACTTAAGATGCAGGTCTTTATGCCATATGTAAAAATTACTCAAATTAGATCACAGCTTATTTTCTTTTTTCAATTTAAAAGAGCACGTTTAAGGCTGGGCACGGTGGCTTATGCCTGTAATCCCAGCACTTTGGGAGGCTGAGGCAAGTGAATCACTTGAGGTCAGGAGTTCAAGACCAGCCTAGATCAACATGGTGAAACCCTGTCTCTCCTAAAAATACAAAAATTAGCCGAGAGTGGTGGCACATGCTTGTAATCTCAGCTACTCAGGAGGCTGAGGCTGGAGAATGGCTTGAACCCGGGAGGCAAAGATTGTAGTGAACCAAGATCACACCACTGCACTCCAGCCTGGCAGACAGAATGAGACTCTGTCTCAATAAATAAATAAATAGAATAAAAATTATAAAAGAGTACATTTAACACCTTGTCTTGGATAATCTAACAGTCATGAGGTCTTTGTAAAGGGGAACAAAAGAGCAAAGTCTACAAAATTCTTAGAACATGGGGGAAGTTTTATGACTTTGGACCTGGCAATGATTGCTTGGATATGACACCAAAAGCATAGGCAACAAAAGAAAAAGTAAGCAAATGGAACATCGTCAAAATTTTAAACTTTTGCATATCAAAAGACACTATAACAGAGCAAAAAGGCAACCCATGGAATGGGAGAAAATATGTTAGTCACAGACATGCTAAGGAATTAATATCCAGAATGTATAAAGAACTCCTCAAACTCAACATTCAAAGATGGGCAAAGGGCCAGTTGTAGTGGCTCACAGGTGTAATCCCAGCACTTTGGGAGGCCGAGGTGGGTGGATCACCTGAGGTCAGAAGTTCGAGACTAGCCTGACCAAAATGGTGAAACCCCGTCTCTACTAAAAAAAATACAAAAATTAGCCAGGTGTGGTGGTGGGTGCCTGCAGTCCCGGCTACTCAGGAGGCTGACACAGAATTGCTTGAACCCGGGAGGCAGAGGTTGCAGTAAGCCAAGATTGCACTACTGCACTCCAGCCTGGGCAACAGAGCAAGACTCCGTCTGAAAACAAACAAGCAAACAACAAAAAACAAAGATGGGCAAAGGACTTGGGTAGACATTTCTCTAAACGTCCGGGCGCGGTGGCTCACACCTGTAATCACAGCACTTTGGGAGGCCGAGGTGGGTGGATCACGAGGTCAAGAGATCGAGACCATCCTGTTCAACATGGTGAAACCCCGTCTCTACTAAAAATACAAAACATTAGCTGGGCATGGTGGCGCGTGCCTGTAATCCCAGCTACTCGGGAGGCTGAGGCAGGAGAATTGCCTGAACCCAGGAGACGGAGGTTGCGGTGAGCCGAGATCGCGTCATTGCACTCCAGCCTGGGTAACAAGAGCGAAACTCCATCTCAAAAAAAAGAAAAAAACTAAACACAGAATTACCATATGATCTAGAAATTCTCCTGGGTATAAGGAGTATATCTCCTGGGTATTACTATCCTGAAAGCAGGGACTCAAACAGACATTTGTACACAGTTCTGTCAACCTGAAATAATAAAAAAGATCAGAATTCAGTTTAACAGGTTCATTCGAGTGCGAAGCTGAGGATGGGCATTCTCACAGACTCCAAAGAAATGGGGTCAGTGCTCTGAAGCTGAGAAGTTTAGGGTCTTACTTTATAGTCAGAAAACAAAGAAATTAGGTAGAATAATGACATTTCCCATATAAAGTTGGTTTATGAGTTACAGCAATTTGATTAGTTATAGCTCATTTTCTTTTTTCATTTTAAAAGAGTACATTTAACACATCTTGGACAATATGACAGTCATGAGGTCTCCGTGTGGGATAGGAAAGAGGGAAGTTAATCTGCATTGAAGTTCAACAGTAAAGAGGAAAGGGATCTTCTCTGAACCCTTCAGTTTTTTACAATATTTCACAAAACAATGTAGCTAAGAGGAAAAGGAGTAATCTGTAATCAGGGAAACAAAGCTCTTAGCTGTCTGTAAATGACCCAGGTCCCATCATTACTTTCCTCCAAGGCTCAGAATAATTTAAAGTTTCAACAGCTTTGATTTTGAATTACCTTTTTCACAGTTCATAGTAGTAGTATTCACCATAGCCAAAAGGTGGAAACCCGTATGTTCATGGAAGAATGAATGGATAAACAAAATGTGGTATATACATGTAATGTAATATTACTCAGCCTTAAGAGGGAAGGAAATTCTGACTTGAAAACATTATGCTGAGACAAGCCAGAGACAAAACAAATGCTGTACATTTGTTTTGTACAGTTTAATGGGTACAGAGGCTGGGTATTGTGGCTCATGCCTGTAATCCCAGCACTTTGGGAGATGAGGCGGGTGGATCACTTTAGTCTAGGAGTTCGAGACCAGCCTGGACAACATAAAGAGACCTCATCTCTACTAAAAAAAAAATTTTTTTTTTGAAACAGAGACTTGCTCTGTCATCCAGGCTGGAGTGCAGTGGCATAATCCCAGCTCATTGCAACCTCTGCCTCCCGGGTTCAAGTGATTCTTCTGCCTCAGCCTCTTGAGTAGCTGAGATTACAGGCACTCCCTACCATGCCGCTAATTTTTTTTTTTTTTTTTTTTTTTTGAGACTGAGTCTTGCTCTGTCGCCAGGCGCCAGGCTGTAATGCAGTGGCGTGATCTCGGCTCACAGCAACCTCAACCTCCCGCGTTCAAGCAATTCTCCTGCCTCAGCC